GCGCCTGTGATAACTGGGCCACCATGCTCCTCATGGTCCAGGAACAGCAATTTGTTGAACTTACTGTACAGTCACATAAACAACTTTGTTTGCTTGTTTGTTGTTTAACGCCGCACTCAGCAATATTCCAGCTATACAACAGCGGTCTGTTAATAATCCAGTGTGGACCAAGCCAGTGATTGACATCATGAGCATTAATCCACACAATTGGGATATGATGACATGCACCAGTCAAGTCAGCAAGCCTGACCCCCGATCATGTTAGTCACCTTTAATGACTGCATGGATTGCTGAAGACCTATTCTACCCCGTATCTTCACGGGTCCATAAAATACTGAAAACAGACATAATTGTGAATATTTATTGATCACATTAAAATATTACAAAAATATTTAGAGTTACTTCGATTCTCTGCAACTTTCTGCACAGCATGGAATACAGTCTCATTCAGACAACACAACCATCTCTGACTCCTCCATCAACAATACTTGCCACACATCTGTATAAAGCTGACACATCACCGCCATGACCACATGTGGTAAGAGCACACTATCTTAATTCAAAATAATCACCTTTTCATCATCTGTATCCCATTACCATTATCAAAATGATATCAATCTTCAACACAACGTATTATTTCTTTCAATAAAATCCCAGGGTGACAAAAGTTTAAAATGGCTTAACAAATCAACATTTAGAATAGTATAAGAATTTAACTGATGTTTGTATTATGCAATCAATTACTACAGAATACATAACTACCAAACTTGACCTTATTCTTTCACCTTCCATTCAACTTTATCAGTATCGAAAATTATTAATATTCAGATATGTTCAAATGTGTTTCTAATGAGGAATGTGGACAATGATGTTATAATTTGATATGTAATCAAACAAAATTTCTATCTATTGCTTCATTAGGGCATAAATAAATATAATTAAATGCATCATGCTGCACAATTGCAGTCAAAGAAGATTGACCTTGGATGTTTGATTAGCTGATGGTTGAGTGATATGACACACTGAGTAATGCATATTAATGAAAAAATAAATTTATGTATAAAGATTACATACAAAATAACATCCATGAATGTTCGGCAAACAAAATACTGAAAACCCTAAAAATAAGGTTTCATCTCTGGTATCAGGTTATTGAGTGAGTGAGTGAGTGAGTATGGTTTTACGCCGCTTTTAGCAATATTCCACCAATATCACGGCGGGGGACACCAGAAACGGGCTTCACACATTGTACCCATGTCGGGAATCGAACCCAGGTCTTCGGCGTGACGAGCGAACGCTTTAACCACTAGGCTACCCGACCGCCCCTATCAGGTTATTGAGTGAATGTGGAACTACTGAGTGAGGGCCAGTAGCATCGACCATTAATGTTTATTAATGTCAAGGACCTGGTTGCTAAATGTTACGTTTTCTGAATAGCAATAATCCAGTATGAATTCATTATTCATAACTGATTTTCACATTAAAAAAATATTGGCATGAAAATAATGGACGATCAGTCAATCATAAATATCAAAAATAATACTTTACAACATGCGTCAAGAAAATAACAGATGATGCCATTTTAGAAAGACAAAATATTTTGGAATGGTTTATGAAGAATATTACATCTTATCAATTAGTTTTGAATTGTCTATTAATTTTCATTTTGCGACATGATAGATATTCTTATTAAACATTCAGAGAAATACCACATTTATCTGAAAAAAAATTATCAATATTTCACACTTAAACATGTTTTTGACAAGAAAGGCCAAACATTCCCAATTTATCTCAAAGCAAATTTTCACTTGAAATAACATGGGTAACTTTCTACCATGCGGAGGTGAAAAAAATGTGTTTTGGGTTAAAATGACTTTGATTCTTGTATCCCTACATCTGTGAGATATACAACACCAGGAACATGTATACCTACATCTGTGGGATATACAACAACAGGAGCATGTACACCTACATCTGTGGGATATACAACAACGGGAGCATGTATACCTACATCTGTGAGATATACAACAACGGGAGCATGTATACCTACATCTGTGAGATATACAACAACAGGAGCACATATACCTACATCTGTGAGATATACAACAACGGGAGAACATATACCTACATCTGTGAGATATACAACAACAGGAGCATGTATACCTACATCTGTGAGATATACAACAACAGGAGCATGTATACCTACATCTGTGAGATATACAACAACGGGAGCATGTATACCTACATCTGTGAGATATACAACAACAGGAGCATGTATACCTACATCTGTGGGATATACAACAACAGGAGCATGTATACCTACATCTGTGGGATATACAACAACAGGAGCATGTATACCTACATCTGTGAGATATACAACAACAGGAGCATGTATACCTACATCTGTGGGATATACAACAACAGGAGCATGTATACCTACATCTGTGAGATATACAACAACAGGAGGATGTATACCTACATCTGTGAGGTATACAACAACAGGAGCATGTATACCTACATCTGTGAGATATACAACAACGGGAGCATGTATACCTACATCTGTGAGATATACAACAACAGGAGCATGTATACCTACATCTGTGGGATATACAACACCAGGAGCACATATACCTACATCTGTGAGATATACAACAACGGGAGCATGTATACCTACATCTGTGAGATATACAACACCAGGAGCATGTATACCTACATCTGTGGGATATACAACAACGGGAGCATGTATACCTACATCTGTGAGATATACAACACCAGGAGCACATATACCTACATCTGTGAGATATACAACAACGGGAGCACATATACCTACATCTGTGAGATATACAACAACGGGAACATGTATACCTACATCTGTGAGATATACAACACCAGGAGCATGTATACCTACATCTGTGAGATATACAACAACAGGAGCATGTATACCTACATCTGTGGGATATACAACAACAGGAGCATGTATACCTACATCTGTGAGATATACAACAACAGGAGCATGTATACCTACATCTGTGAAATATACAACAACGGGAGCATGTATACCTACATCTGTGAGATATACAACAACAGGAGCATGTATACCTACATCTGTGAGATATACAACAACAGGAGCATGTATACCTACATCTGTGAGATATACAACAACAGGAGCATGTATACCTACATCTGTGGGATATACAACAACAGGAGCATGTATGCCTACATCTGTGGGATATACAACAACAGGAGCATGTATACCTACATCTGTGAGATATACAACAACGGGAGCATGTATACCTACATCTGTGAGATATACAACAACGGGAGCATGTATACCTACATCTGTGGGATATACAACAACAGGAGCATGTATACCTACATCTGTGGGATATACAACAAAGGGAGAACATATACCTACATCTGTGAGATATACAACAACGGGAGCATGTATACCTACATCTGTGGGATATACAACAACGGGAGAACATATACCTACATCTGTGAGATATACAACAACAGGAGGATGTATACCTACATCTGTGAGATATACAACAACAGGAGCATGTATACCTACATCTGTGAGATATACAACAACAGGAGCATGTATACCTACATCTGTGAGATAAACAACAACGGGAGCATGTATACCTACATCTGTGAGATATACAACAGGAGCATGTATACCTACATCTGTGAGATATACAACAACGGGAGCATGTATACCTACATCTGTGAGATATACAACAACGGGAGCATGTATACCTACATCTGTGAGATATACAACAACAGGAGCATGTATGCCTACATCTGTGAGATATACAACAACAGGAGCATGTATGCCTACATCTGTGAGATATACAACAACAGGAGCATGTATACCTACATCTGTGAGATATACAACAACAGGAGCATGTATACCTACATCTGTAAGATATACAACAACAGGAGCATGTATACCTACATCTGTGGGATATACAACAACGGGAGAACATATACCTACATCTGTGAGATATACAACAACAGGAGGATGTATACCTACATCTGTGAGATATACAACAACAGGAGCATGTATACCTACATCTGTGAGATAAACAACAACGGGAGCATGTATACCTACATCTGTGAGATATACAACAGGAGCATGTATACCTACATCTGTGAGATATACAACAACGGGAGCATGTATACCTACATCTGTGAGATACACAACAGGAGCATGTATACCTACATCTGTGAGATATACAACAACAGGAAACGAATACCTACATCTGTGGGATATACAACAACAGGAGCAAGTATACCTACATCTGTGAGATATACAACAACAGGAGCAAGTATACCTACATCTGTGGGATATACAACAACAGGAGTATGTAAACCTACATCTGTGAGATATACAACAACAGGAGCATGTATACCTACATCTGTGAGATATACAACAACGGGAGCATGTATACCTACATCTGTGAGATATACAACAACAGGAGCATGTATGCCTACATCTGTGAGATATACAACAACAGGAGCATGTATACCTACATCTGTGAGATATACAACAACAGGAGCATGTATACCTACATCTGTGAGATATACAACAACGGGAGCATGTATACCTACATCTGTGAGATATACAACAACGGGAGCATGTATACCTACATCTGTGAGATATACAACAACAGGAGCATGTATACCTACATCTGTGAGATATACAACAACAGGAGCATGTATACCTACATCTGTGAGATATACAACAACAGGAGCATGTATACCTACATCTGTGAGATATACAACAGCAGGAGCATGTATACCTACATCTGTGAGATATACAACAACAGGAGCACATATACCTACATCTGTGAGATATACAACAACGGGAGAACATATACCTACATCTGTGAGATATACAACAACAGGAGGATGTATACCTACATCTGTGGGATATACAACAACAGGAGCATGTATACCTACATCTGTGAGATATACAACAACAGGAGCATGTACACCTACATCTGTGAGATATACAACAACAGGAGCACATATACCTACATCTGTGGGATATACAACAACAGGAGCATGTATACCTACATCTGTGAGATATACAACAACAGGAGCATGTACACCTACATCTGTGAGATATACAACAACAGGAGCACATATACCTACATCTGTGAGATATACAACACCAGGAGCACATATACCTACATCTGTGGGATATACAACAACAGGAGGATGTATGCCTACATCTGTGAGATATACAACAACAGGAGCACATATACCTACATCTGTGGGATATACAACAACAGGAGGATGTATGCCTACATCTGTGAGATATACAACAACAGGAGGATGTATGCCTACATCTGTGAAATATACAACAACGGGAGCATGTATACCTACATCTGTGAGATATACAACAACAGGAGCATGTATACCTACATCTGTGAGATATACAACAACGGGAGCATGTATGCCTACATCTGTGAGATATACAACAAAAGGAAACGTATACCTACATCTGTGAGATATACAACAACGGGAGCACATATACCTACATCTGTGAGATATACAACAACAGGAGCATGTATACCTACATCTGTGAGATATACAACAACAGGAGCATGTATACCTACATCTGTGAGATATACAACAACGGGAGCATGTATGCCTACATCTGTGAGACATACAACAACGGGAGCATGTATACCTACATCTGTGAGATATACAACACCAGGAGCACATATACCTACATCTGTGGGATATACAACAACGGGAGCATGTATACCTACATCTGTGAGATATACAACAACAGGAGCATGTATACCTACATCTGTGAGATATACAACAACGGGAGCATGTATACCTACATCTGTGAGATATACAACAACAGGAGGATGTATGCCTACATCTGTGAAATATACAACAACGGGAGCATGTATACCTACATCTGTGGGATATACAACAACAGGAGCATGTATACCTACATCTGTGAGATATACAACAACAGGAGCACATATACCTACATCTGAGAGATATACAACAACGGGAGCATGTATACCTACATCTGTGAGATATACAACAACAGGAGCATGTATACCTACATCTGTGAGATATACAACAACGGGAGCATGTATGCCTACATCTGTGAGACATACAACAACGGGAGCATGTATACCTACATCTGTGAGATATACAACAACGGGAGCATGTATGCCTACATCTGTGAGATATACAACAACGGGAGCATGTATGCCTACATCTGTGAGATATACAACACCAGGAGCATGTATACCTACATCTGTGAGATATACAACAACGGGAGCATGTATATCTACATCTGTGAGATATACAACACCAGGAGCATGTATCCCTACATCTGTGAGATATACAACAACAGGAGCATGTATACCTACATCTGTGAGATATACAACACCAGGAGCATGTATCCCTACATCTGTGAGATATACAACAACGGGAGCATGTATGCCTACATCTGTGAGATATACAACAAAAGGAAACGTATACCTACATCTGTGAGATATACAACAACGGGAGCACATATACCTACATCTGTGAGATATACAACAACGAGAGCATGTATACCTACATCTGTGAGATATACAACACCAGGAGGATGTATACCTACATCTGTGAGATATACAACAACAGGAGCATGTATACGTACATCTGTTGGATATACAACAACAGGAGCATGTATACCTCAATCTGTGAGGTATACAACATCAGGAGCATGTATACCTCAATCTGTGAGGTATACAAAAATGGTCCTGTTTCCAAGCAACAGGTAAACACAAACAAATCCTTAACTTAATTCCATATCATTACTTTAAAAAACAAAATTCTACCAAGCATATGGTATTAATAGCAAATACATTGTTGACAATCAATAATCTTTAAGACAAACATGATCAATTCAGAACAACATTGTGTGGTTTTAACAACAAAAAAACAAGCAATGTTTGCATGGCAGTAAATCCATTTTGATTAATAGAATCTGACTACGTTTTTGCATGCACCAAGGAGGACGACGAACAAACACTACCAATCCAACAGCTAGGCTACAAATCCCTGATCACATAATGCAAGTATATATGTCTTGTGTTTCATACAAGATCATAACTGATGGCAACGTCTGTGTAAAAAATCATTTACACATTAGAACCATTCTGCATTTTCGAAACAGATTCCATGTATCTGTGATATAACATCAGGCCTTTCCTCTCACACTCTTTGATTTCGACATTGTGCTCAGCCTAAGACAGGGACGTCTACTCATCAAGAGACAATTAACAAATATATATCCCTGTATAGCTAAAATGAGTCATATTCATCCTCTATCAGATCTGTTTGTGTGTTTGTTGTTTAACGCCACCCTCAGCAATATTCCAGCTATTTGACGGCAATCTGTAAATTATCAAGTCTGGACCAGAAAATCCAGTGATTGACATCATGAGCATCGATCCACGCAATTTGGATACGATAACATGCATTAACCAAGTCAGCGAGTCTGACCACCCGATCCCGTTCTCTATCAGAGATCATAAGTCATTACTTTTAATTTATTTGAGCTAATAAGGATGATTATTGTTTAAATGTTTTAGTTAGTCTGCTACTTATCGTGAGGTATCGTAAATTGATTGATTGTCTGACCAGTGTCTTGAGGAACACCTCTACCATGTGCACATTAGTAGGTTACAATATATTATAGACTATATATACTACCAAAATATGTTAATACAAATTAACAACTAAATTAATTAATAGAAAAGTACAAAATACAAAGTTCAATGTTTCCAATGCCTTTCAAACAATCAGACACGTATGGTTAGTTTGATATGAGTATTGCTATGTCAGGTTGTGGTGCATCACTCAGACTGACATTTAGTCACAGAAATAAAGTTATCTTATTGAAATATATACATTTATATAAAATAAAAATAATAAAATCAAAATCAGAACAATCCTTAATTTCGAAATCATTCTAGACTTGAGATGGACTCCTTTTTATTTTTTTCTCTAGGGTCTGGAAGACAGACTATACATCAATGCATGGTGCCTTACCCCAGGACAATATGGTGGGTGGTTCTGAGCACATGACCGTAGGACAATAGGCAATCCTGGGCCATGTTCCATAAAGCGATCATAGAGTTAAGACAATAGTTACTCTTAATTTTATAGAATAGGCTTACGACAATCGTAGCACGAGGATCCCTATGTGGAACCGGGACCTAGGCACTCCAACTCCATGCGTGTTTCAAGACCCGACTTGAGAAGGGATCATAGTGATACAATGTCATACCTGGCTGACAGTGTGTCACACACCCTGACATGGTATTCATGCTTTCAATCCCTAGCATACAACACCCACTTCCCACTTTAGTATATACACATATACCTCCAGTCAAAAATTCTTTTAAAAAAATTAAAAAAATATACCTCCAGCTCCAGTCCTTATGCTTAAGGTGGGAAGATAAGGATCCTACAATTCCTACTCCACCCCAAAAAATATTTCATATATGACCGTGGCTTCACTAACCAGTCAACAACATACTATCCTTAAAATATATTTCACAAACGTATATTAAGGCAAAAGATACAGTCAAGCTAAATTTTTCAACATTACATTCGACTTATACTCTCGGGTGGAACATCAGATTGACATCAGTCATCATACACAGTGGTGTATGTAAAAATAACATTTGAAAATCATATCAAAATAATCTTATCATCTATTTTTAATCATATTGCATGGCAAACAGGACATTTGATTTTGGGTTGTTTTTTGGTTTAACACCGCACTCAGCAATATTCCAGCTATATGAATGTTGGAACCAACAGGTATAAACTATTAAATGATAAGAAAGATTTTAGCACATTCTTCTTATTGAATCACATGTTCTGACTTGAAAGTTAGACCAAAGTTACTAGACAGGCGGGATAGGGGTTTAAGGGGTTTGAAAAATTACTGGCCCACCTAGAAAATTGCTAGCCACGGCAGGCAACCAGTGTTCAAAATAATAAAAATTGCATGGATGCCAGAGACTTTAGAAACTACAGGCCCTGACGGAACTCTTCAGGCCTAAGCAGTCCTACAGATCCACCCTTGATAACTTGGGTGCTTTATACCTCAAATAAGGTATTTCTCAGCTCAATTAAAGGTGATGTATTACTGACAGAATCTGGAAGAGGTGTATAAACAATTACACTAGTGTAACATAATATATTAGTTAGATGTTCTCAACGTGTTATGGAATAAAACCATCTTGAACATGCGGTATGGCAAGGTTAGCATCTGGTATTATGCAGATGAAAAGTTAAACATTTAATGCATTTCAATATCAATCAGTATCAGATCTTTAACATGGTTTATCCATAATACGGAATGGAATTTAAGAAAACGTGTCAAACAGGAATGATATTATTCAGTATATAGACAATAACTGATACAATCTTTGGAACAAAAATATTTGGAATTAATGGTTACCACAGGAAAAATATCAAGCAAAACCATCGTCAAAATCAATAATTTCCTCTTTCCTGAACTAGAAAATGATTCGTCACAACCAAGTGGTCATTACATGACATATAACAGAGATTGTTTGCTTAAAAAATCAGTTTACAGATCAGAGAAGCCAACAACAACAAAAAAGTGAAAAAAAATGAAATCTGAAATTCAAATTGAATAGGTGACATTTATAAAATGTGAAAAATATAAACAAATACAAATACAAAAAGATCAATGATATAATCAGACATTTTTTCAGCATCTGATGTTATCTGGTTGGTTTATCCATGTACGAAAGGGAGGTTACTCTTATTCAGCACTCTGTAACTCTATTATGCATACATGATTAATCTGCAAGACCAGAAAAACAGCATGACAACATATTCAAGTAACTCTTTGAAGAACACAAATAAAATCTGAACTATCTGTTTCAGATTTTCCCACCTACATGGACTTAAAAAATAAATTTGTAAACCAATAAATAAGAAAGGTTGGTCCTAACAAGTAGCTCTCTAAGGAGCCACTGGAAACAGGGTCACACAGTTGTCTTCACAGTGGACCATGCACACTAAACACTTGTGGTTTGTCAAAAAACATGTACAATAAGGTTCAGTATATAAAAACCAGCACTAGATATTCTACATAACTACAAGAAATGTACATAAAATATTGGTTTGACCACAGATCCCCAAAACAGTTACAATCATATTGAGATTCAGTATCAAATAAATACTGGATGTGAGATTCATGCATTATCACAAATTATTTCAGTTCAAACTATGAGTGACATTTGCAATGAATTTCAAATGACGTAAATTTGCTTCCGGTTATTAGCAAGTGGATACTGGAACATAATAAAAGCAATTCATTCTAGGTTGTAAGAAAATAAAATATAAACATCAAAATATTATAATGAAATAGTACTGATAAAGTCAAAGAAATTGTTGCTATGGTTACATATTCTTCATATGTTGTGATATGGTAATTTACGTGTTTGAAACTAGCACCATGAAATCATTATCATTTGCTGACAAAGCAAACCATTTTCTAATTGAGAATTGTGACTTGAGAGTATTTTCTTCATAAACAGTCAGATCTATATCCACATGATCAACAAACTGAGATGCTATTTGTCAGGAAATGACAACAGGCATGTGTAATTTGATTTCAAATTAATGTTATTGGGTTTCTCTACATCTTCTCCAATGTTTGTGTTTAACCATCTCCTGGTAAGAATGACATTGGTTCCTGGATGATTTCATAACTAGGAATAACCATAGCTGTCATTGTGGTTAGGTTTGGAAGAATGATTGACATAGTTTGGAAGACCTATGGCTACTGTTCACCTGCTTCAGAAGAATGATTGACATAGTTTGGAAGACCTATGGCTACTGTTCACCAGCTTCAGAAGAATGATTGAATGAAGAAACTATTTGGAAGAAGGCTAGAAACTATTCAGTGTATCTATTTTGAGGAATGATTGATGCAGCCATACAGAGGAACCATGGATACGATTCTGTTTATTGTTGTGAAGGAATGATTGATACAAACTACAGGGAGATCTCTGGCAACCATTCTGTACATAATTCTGAAGGAAGCTGGTGAGACTTCTTGCTATGGGTCGGTTAATCATTTGGTGGAAATATTGATGTAATCACAAGGAAGAACCCTGGCTACAATTCTGTTAATTCTATTTTGGAGGAATGATTGATAATCGGAAGGACATGGTTACCCTTTTGGCGAAACGATCAATGTACATATTGGGTAAAAACGTGGCTTCATTTCTGAGAAATGATTGACAGAACCATACACAGAAACCACAACTATTTTGTTTCTTGCTTTGGAAGAATGATTGATGCAACCATTGAGAAGAACCCTGACTACAAATCTGTTTATTAATATAGGTAATGATTTATGCAATTATTGGGAAGAGCTATGGTTACTGATCTGTTCATTGTTTGGGGGAATGATTGATGAAACTATAGGGAGGAACCATGGTTACTGACCTGGGTGCCGTTGAAAACAACCTAAGCGCTACGACAGTCGTAAGTCTATGTTAAGGTATGTGAGTTACGATCACCTTAGTGCTAAGATTGCTTTGTACAATGGCACCCTGGTAAATATTTTGGAGAAATACTCAGTACAAAAAGCATAAGGTAAACCTTTGCAATAATCTCTGCATATTAACATTGTGGTTATCTGACATTAGGGGGAAACTACACCCAGGCAAACAGTAGTCCATCTATCCTGCTGTTCCTCGGGAAACGAGAGGAAAGCGAAATTTTAAAATGACACCCTAAGCTTTGATGAAGATAGCAAGCAACATTAGTTTGAGTATTCAAATAATACAAATCACGTATGATTTTTCAAATGTACACAAAGTCGGCTACACTCATGAGGGATAGAACACAGAGCATTTTGGATTATACAGGAACCCTTTTCCATCTGGAGAAAATCATGAAAATAAGGCATTTGACAAATTCAACCAAATCCTTGAACACCAAGTTGGAGCAGGACGACTATGTGGAAATACCACTGAAATAACTTTTTTTGAACATTTCAACTGTTTATGGTCTTATTTAGTTTCAGGCAATTTGAGACATTGTTATTTTACTATAATATAAAGGAGACGGCTCTATTCAAATCAGATGCAGGTAATATATGTATGCGAACGTCAGCTGTTCCACAATAAGAGCTTTCCCCCTCTAAATTCAGTGTAAACAGGACGAGAACACCTACCTATACATATCTCATTGCACGTTGGTCCACTCAGGAAATGACACACAAGTGATGTTCATTAATGTGATTGTATTGACATGATTAAACTCAATTGTTTAAGAAGAGGTCAGCTGCTGCATTATTGACAAGTAGGTGATTTGATTCAAGGAATATTTCCATTCTAGATAATAAGGGGGTAATTAGAATTGCACTCTGAACACCCAGCTATCTCGTGGGTTTGAACTGATGGTGTGAACTTCTATTGTGAGTATCAGTTTCACAAGTTAAATTGTCTTCATCTTTGATCAAATTTCACTTAATTTCATGGTTAAAAAATAGAAGAAACCATTTTGCTCACAATCCTAACAAAATGTTCTCTCTGCTTCTGGAAGAGGTGGCAAATGCAAAATGGATGTCCTGATAACATTTCTTTTTGCATTTAGGAACTTTAACCCATGATATAACTAGGAAAAAAATATAGTTAATTATATATTGCATTTTAAAAAATAAGTTTAATATTTCAAATTAACAAAATGTGAAGAATATAATTATGTACTCGTGGTCAAAGGTCATACTATGAAAGTTCAGATATCATATTCAGATCAGCAGGTTCATTCATCAGTTTGGTATGTTCACAACTGGTTAAAAAGTATGTCCAATCCTTGTACAGAATCTTAGAGATCATCAATTGTTCAACGTAAGGTACGGAGGTATCACCCTCAGCAACATCAGCACCTTGATCCAGATGTTCCGACAAGAGGATCAAATAGTTCATGTAGATGTCAACCCAGACAGGTGACAGTTCAGTCTGTTTAGCAAGGAAGAGGAAAAGGCACAGTATCACTCCATTTTAGGCACTTGAGATTCAGATTTTGATCGGAATCGATAATCACTGGGTCGTGATCCATTAGGCTTCGGGTTTTCGGTGTGGGCCGATAGATTCCAGCTGACTCGAGTCTGGGATGTTCGGGTTAGAGTTGGTGTGGGCACAGAGTTGACTGTGAAGTTCAGATGTTTAGCTGAGACATTTCTCTGCGTCTTTGATCGTAGTTTGCTAGGGACGGCCATCATGGTGCTTGGTTGTATCACATAGCTAGAAAATGAGAGTGGGAGATCTTTTAAAGTCAGAAGGCGGGATTTTTCGTTACTTTAATCAATTGCTACTTCATTTCAACAAAACTCTATACACCTATACACGGTTGGTGAGCGTGAGTGAGTATGGTTTTACGCCGCTTTTAGCAATATTCCAGCAATATCACGTCGGGGAACACCAGAAATGGGCTTCACACATTGTACCCATGTCAGGAATCGAACCCGGGTCTCCGGCGTGACAGTGAATGCTTTAACCACTAGGCTACCCGACCACCCCTATATACACGGTTTGGGTAGCCTGGTGGTAAAAGTAAGCACTCATCTCAACAAAAGTCTGGGTTGGATGAAGCATAGGGTACAATGTGGGAAGCCTGTTTCTGGTAGCCAACATTGTCATATTGCTGGAATATTGCTAAAAATGACATAAAACCATACTCACTCATACAGGGAGACTAGGTGAGGTAAAATGGGGTATAACGTCGCATCAAATATTGATGCACTTATATAGCAACATGCATGCATATGTAGCTGCTTGTACTAGTTGATTTAAAGTGCTCGCACACTGAGATACCATGACGCAGTTAAACATAAATACCCCACTCAGACACAGTATAGTGACGCCAAGTTGACCAGTCCTTGTTTTAGCCCCTTAATGCCAAGCACAAGACAGGCTAACAAGAAGTACCATATTTTAATGTTTTTTGGTATGACGCGGCTGGGAATTGAACCCCGGACCTTCCGTTCTCTGGGCGCACGCTCTACCACTAGACCACGGAGGCGGTACAGGGAGACTAACTTGTCTTGTCTGAGGTAATGATCATGGTAATGGTGAAGCATCACTCTCTACAGAGCGAATAATAGCCGACAGTGTTTCCTTATAGAGGATTCATCACGAGTGTTTTTTAATATGGGAAATATCAACCGAGTCTTAGTTAATCGGTATTTGCCGAGCCTTTGGCGAGGCAAATACCGATTAACGGGACGAGGTTGATATTTCCCATATCAAAAAACATGAGTGATGAATTCTATTTATCATTTTCAAATTTTTGCTTCCAAATTAAGGAATAATTGCATTAAACATTAACATCAGCAACTTGTCGAAATCTTACGTATAGATCATGCGTAGTGATGCATGTTTTCCATAGCCATGTAAACCAAAATAAACAATTCGCTGAGAAAAAAAGTTCCTCGGATTATTTTAAACAAAATACTTGAACAGACTTTTGCAGAATAATTGAAACTTTAATAACGGTAACAACAACGATTCTGTGTAATCTGATTATATCTCTGGTGTAACTTCACTTATAATATATAGTTTCAAATCAAACCGCTCCCTCTTCCGGTTATCTAATTTGCATATCTAATTTGCATACTTATGTCATTGGGGTATGACATACATGTTTTTATGTCATAAGCTTATGTCATGGATAAATGCTTAAGTTAAATGATAAATCGTAATATGTCCTTATAACAAGATTAATATTTTGGCTCGCATAATACAATTTGTTCTTTCCAATACATCCTATTTACAATACGAAAACACATGATGATTATAATCATTCATAGAAGTTTATTCTTGAAAACAACAAAATCTAAGATTTATTTTTGGTAATTTGGCTCTTGATACAAAGTTTATCAGATTGGTCTCTAACATTTAAAAAACTATCACCTACATGATAAATACACTTACATCATATCTCCATTCTTCAGTTTCCTTTTGGGAGATGGGTTCACAATCACATAGGACAGCAAGCTATCTTGTTCTTTGGCTGGACCTGTACAAGCAAGATATATCCATGAATGAATTTGTAAGTTGTAGCAGGATCACGAGGGGTACATGGGGTTTTATGCCTCCCGCAGAGCCGGAGGAGGGGGGTATAAAATTTAAAAAGGGATACATAAAACCCCATGTACCCTGATTGATCAACAAATTTATCTTAACCGCCAATTTTTAATATGACATTGTAAAAGAATTCAAACAAATGCAAAATTGATAGAAAACAGCTGTTTGATTGAGCTGAGGTTAGCCTGCGCTATGTCACGTGACTTCTACTAACTCGGAAAGAGCATGCAGCTTTTTGCTTTGAAGCAGGATTAGGGATTTATTCTGTCTCTCAGAAATCCACGTGCAGCCTGATTTGCTCGTGGCGGGGTATAAGAGATTTATTCCCCTGCTGACCAATTTCTTCCCCTCCAGGCGGGTTACACAGTATTTTATCAAGATCACATGGACCAATCAGATCTCATCAATCTGACAGTGAGGTATGATAATGCTTTACATTGCATTCATAACAGAACAAGTGAACAGTCCCTATAAAACTGCATGTGTGCTGATAACTCAGGGAGATCTGTAGAGAAATACAACCTAAAACACTGAAGCTCTTAAAAAAGTGACGAATTTTGCTTTAGTCTTGTCCAAATTATCTTCTGGTTTAACAACCATGAAAATATAATAAAAAAGTTAAAAATGAGTTGTTTGGTTAAAAACTATAACATTCCCCTTTTGAATTTTTTGTATCCACAAAACCATCAACTGAATTCCTCTGGACTTCTTACCATAATCAAAATTTATGTCAAATCACTGAACATTTAACTGAAGGATGCTGGTGACAATGGGAGTCAGCTGTCTCTGGTGAACACTTGCTGTGCAGGTCAACACCATGCCCAAGTTCATGGGTTTCACCAGATTAGATTGTTTGTTTTTAACGCCACACTCAGCAATATTCCAACTTTTTGATGACATCCTGTAAATAATCAGGCCAGGAGCAGACAATCAAGTGACTGACATCATGAACATCAATTGATGCAATTTGGACACAATGACATGCATCAACCATGTCAGCAAGCCTGACCACTTGATTCATTTAATCGCCTCCTATGTCAAGCTAACCCAGGTCTTCATGGGGGGTTCACCAAAGTAGTAAATATCTAACATCACTTCGGTTATTCTAAAATCAGGCTGACACACTAAATATAATAACTGATTATCCCTTCTGCGGAGCATCCTGGCTGACTCACACCAAAACTGTCCAACGCATCATTTATTCTTAAACCATTATCATGACGTCCGGCTATTGATGTATTTGATTCTGGGCCAGGAATTCACTGGCCATCCTGAAAGTGCATTTTTTAACAAGTAAAACAATATGTCATCATGCAAAATTATAGAGAAATTATATCAATCATAGCATGGTTTTAGTGGGAGTAATCAATCAAATCTATTGATTTCGTCAATAGAATCAACCCACTGCCTCGTGGATAATTGATTCCACTTCCGGAATGAACACTTTCTCTATTACCTATTCCTGAAATGATCATGTTAAGGTATCACTCACATAATCATTTCAAAGGGAGATAACTCTACCATCACCAGATTAAAACTCTACATGTGACAAGTTGGGACTCAAGAGTGAGAGGAATATCAAAGGAAGACAACTCTGGTGACACAAAACTAGCACAGCTTCCGATCTTACTTTGGTCATCAGTAATGTTGAGGCTTTTCATTCTGCTGTTGATGAGATCCCGAGCCTCGTTCTGGTCCGTGTCAGAGAAGTACATTTTGCTGGCGATGGACTGTTTGTACTTGCCTCGTGGCTGCCTTGGCTTGCTGATGTTGTTATTCATGCTCTGTAAAGTAGAAAATGAGAATATTATTAAATATTAGTTCTGAAGTCTGAGGTAACTGTATTTCTCCTCTTTAAGAGATACAACGCTGTCAAGCAGGGTGCTTGTGGGTACTCAGTCAAGGCATTGTGAGCTAATTGTGATCCATTGATGAGTAATGTGTTAAATACAAAACTCAGCACTCACTGTCCAGGTAGGATTGCCAGCTAATGAGTTGAGTTTAACATTGCTTTGAACAGTATTTCAGTATTATCACAGCCTGAAATAATTAATGTCCTCAACGTTGGTGAAACCCAAGAGCAAGGGAATAGTGCTGATAACTAATAATAATCAGGTCAAATCTGAGATAAACCTGTGATATGATCCTAGCAAGCCTAAGGGATGCAACTCTGCACAGCAACTGGGTCCCATGATGAAAAGTATTTTGGGATTATGTGATATGGAGCGAGATGTTTGTGATAAATTGCCACATGCAACCATACAGATTTGTGCAAAGACAGGCATAGTGAAGATTTTTAATTTTGAAATTTGACACAAAACATAAAAAACATTTAGACAAGATATGTTTCTGGAGCTTTTGTAGGGCTGGGGTGAGTCCAAAATTACTCTCCGGGTACCCAGACCCCATTACCCGACCCAACCCAGGTCCCCGCTGTAGCTCTTGGTACAAAATGTCCGACGGAGAAATGTTTTACCAGAGCCTTGCAAAAACTATTTAGATAGTAATATATATTGTCGCATCATAGGTTTTCAGACATCATAGTTTTTGGAAGGCCATGACTGTCGCAATTATTCGTGCAATAATGGGGGGATGTAGCATCACACAGACATTGTAAACACTCAGATGATGACTTGTTTTTAAGAGAGAGTTGTCTTTTATTAGTGAATGAGATGTTTAACAGTTGTTTATTTGATTAGAGAGAAAACTATGAATGTTTAAGCATCTGAAAACCGATAACACAGGGATACACATATGAAATGATCTGGTCATGAATACACCGAAGTTGACTGAAGCGTTATCTTTATTCAAAAATTTAAAAGTCAGAAGGAGTGGGTGCATAGTCAGAAATAAACGCAAACATCAGTGACTTATAGTGTAACCATGGAGAATTTTTGTCATTAAACAATATATCATGTGACTAATCACGGATCCGGTCCGAGTTACCCGCCCCAGCCCTACTGTTGTGTTATAGTGAGTGAGTGAGTGAGTATGGTTTTACACCGCTTTTAGCAATATTCCAGCAATATCACGGCGGGGGACACCAGAAATGGGCTTCACACAGTGTACCCATGTCGGGAATCAAACCTGGGTCTTCGGCATGACGAGCGAACGCTTTAACCACTAGGCTACCCGACCGCCCCTTCTGTTGTGTTATAAGTAGGTGAGGAGTGTTATAGATCACAAACGCAAGACGTTACCCTGATATCTGGGTGTGAGGACACGACAGGCGTGGGCCGTTTCTCGGAGCGGTAGATGGCGATGGGGATCTCCCCTGTGGTGGAGCACAGGCCCTCATACAGCTCCCCATAGGTCGGGAACTGAACTAGGGTGGCTCTCCGGACCCTCACCTGCAACACCGTCATACAACCTTCTCATCTCAGACTTCTTCTTTTTTTTCAAATCATTTTTATTCCAGTTTCAGTGGTTACATACACAGTGATATATACATATATAGCAATTAACATTTTGGCACCGCATATTTGGAGGATAGGCCTTGATCATGAAGGATCGAGCAAGATGTTCTGGCATGAAAGTAGTTAACACCATATTTATGAGCAATCGTAGAAAGATAAGCTAATAATAAAGGAAAAAACAGTACCGAATTATAGTATTGTAATCCTTATCTTGGGTAAACATTACAGTCTTTCTTTGGCAATAGAGTCAAAGTGATTGGAAACAATCAATAATAACACACAGTCAGCAATCTATGTAAGATTCAAGGCATCATGTAAACCACAATACAATATCCACTTTTTGTTATAAGTGCTAAGCTTATTATTAGTTTTTGCTGACAGATATTCCAAATAAATAGCATCTTTTAATACTTGTTTAAAAACGTCTAATGAGGGTTTCTTTTTCTTTAAACTAGAAATAAAAATGTGTCTCTTAGCTAACATAATAATATGATTATTTGCAGGTTTTGCACTTATTTCACCAAAACATACATTAAATCTTGTAAAAAGTATATGATTATTTCCCACAGAATTCAGGAAAGCCTCCAAGTTTTGCCAGAATTAGAACACATATTCACAGTCATAAAATACATGCATCAAGTTTTCTTTCTCTATCTTGCAAAATTCACATAAATCATCATCGACAAGTTTCATTTTATAAAGTTCTTTTTTCGTATATATCATTCTATGCAGAAATCTAAATTGAAAATCTATCGATTTTACATCTCTAATGTCTTTTCTAAAAGAGAATTTTTTTTAGCCCATTCTAAGCATTCACCAAATTCAATTTCCCATTTCTTACATATTTTAGGTTGTGAGTCAGAAAAAAATAAGTTTATCATAAAAGAGTCTTGAACCTTTCTTACAAATCAATAAGTCCTGATAACAAGGAAGAATATACATGTCAAAGTATAAATCTACATCAAAATGTTTTTTAATTGCTGTTTTCCATGCTTGGGGAATAATTGAAATAAGCTGAACATAATGCAAAAAGGTCCCTTTAATATTGTATCTTTCTTTTAGAGTTTCAAATGGAATAAATCTATTTCCCTGACAAATATGTTTTAGGGACCAAATACCCTTAATATACCAATCTTTTATGAAAAACTTTGGGGAATTTAAGTAGTGGTTTAACCATAATGGTTGATTCATAATGTTTTCAATAAGAGAAAGGTAATTCATATTTTCCAAAATATTCACACCAAGCTTTAACAACATCGTTCCAATAAGGGTTAGAAACTTTTGTGTAAATAAAAGCATTTGAACCTAATCTTAGTAAATCTTTTACTGGAATGTCATATTGCTGACATTTCTGATGTTTAATACATTTACTTAAAAAGGAGATTTTTAGAGATTTCACAAAAGTTTTAATATCGGGCATTCTTAGTCCCCCGTTTTTATATTCTCTCTTAATATTTTCTCTTTTTATTTTATCTGTTTTTCCGTTCCAAAGAAAATAAAAAAATATTTTATCTAATTTCTTAATAAAAGCATCGGGCGGATTTGGGAATGCCGTGAATATGTGAACTAGCTGTGGTAAAGCAAGTGTTTTAATAACTGTAATTTTCCCAATTAATGTTAAATGCCTTTTTCTCCAGTTTGCTAAAAGTTTAGTGATATTTTCTAATCTTTTACGAGTATTGATTACCCATAAATCCTTTAATAATACCTAGAACTTCAAAGTCTCCAGTGTGCCACTCCAAGTTGAGCTGATCACATATTTTTAATCTACTCCCAGCGAGGGCGCCTATCCATAAAGCCTTTGTTTTATCCATATTAATTTTCAGCCCTGACATTTGGTAAAAATCGTTAAGTGTTTTAATTACAGCATTAAGACATTCCGGAGTACCCTCTAAGAATAATTCAGTGTCATCTGCATATTGACCAAGTTTATGTTCTTTTCCATGCATCTCTATACCTCTAATGTTTGTATTCTCTCTAATAAGTATGCTTAGGATTTCAGCTACTAGAATAAAAAGATATGGGGAAATGGGATCACCTTGTCTACATCCTCTTTCATTTTCAAAGAAAGAAGAAAGATGGCCATTTTGTATGACACAGGACAAACTATTGTTTATAAGCATATTTACCCAATCAACAATATAGGATCCAAAACCAATTTTTTAAGTACGTCTATTATGAATGATTTGGAAATTGCATCAAAGGCTTTCTCAAAATCTATAAGAAGAAGAAGCCATGTTTTATTTTGTTCTTTAGATGGAATATGATATCATATAATAATCTTTCTGCTATGCATCTTCCTGGTATAAAGCCAGTTTGATTTTCATCAATTAGGGAAGGGAGAGTTTTCTTTATTCTATCTGCAATACATGCACTCATTATTTTGTAAAATACATTAAGGAGAGTTATAGGTCGCCAGTTTTTAAGTAAAGTTCTATCCTTTTTACCTTTGGGAATACAGGTGATGATACCTCTGTTTACTGTTATTGTTAATTTCCTATTACTAAAAGATTCATTAATGTATCTGAAGATCCAAGGGCCTAATTCCTTCCAAAAAAAATAAAAAAATTCTATGCTGAAACCATCAAGACCGGGACTCTTGTTATTTTTCATATCCATGACAACTCTATTAATTTCTTCTTGAGTGATTTCTTGTTCTATACTATCTCTTATATTCAAATCAAGTTTAGGAGTTTTGATATCTTTTAAAAAACTATCAAGGTTATCGTTTTCAAAATTTGGATTAGTATATAATTTTTGATCGAAATGTTTTGTTGCTCTAGTATCTGGTTTCCATCTGTAATCGTATTACCTGAATCATCTACTAGTTTATGTATCAGCTTATTTGTAAAATTTCTTTTCTCTAAATGGCAAAAATAACTGGTTGGTTTCCATCCTTCATCATACCATCTTAGTCTGCTTCTAATTTCTTGAGCTCTTACTTCTTCCTCTCTTAATTGTTCTAATTCTAATTTAAGCTTGGAAAGTTGGGCGAATTTATTTTCATTTACATGTTGAAAATCATTTCTTATTTGATCTTCTACCTCGTTTATATCTTTTCAAGTGATTGTAATTTTATTCTTTTTTTTTTCTCTTCAAATAAGTTGATATTGAAATTGAGATCTCTCTAACTTTCATCAAAAAGGTTTCGAATACAATTGTTGCTGGGTATTTTAATTTTAAAAGCTCCACTGGAACATTATCCTGATCATTACAGGCATATTCAAGTTTAACTTCTTCAAGTGTTTTTTTAACCATATCACAAAATTCCTTATAAAATAACAAAGAGGAATTGAATTTCCAGTAACCCTTCCCTTTTTCTTTGTTTACAGATGTGGATAAGGTTAAAGAGATGGCTGAATGATCCGATTTGTAGCCTGCTGATATATTTGCATCTAGTGTAATATTACTTACATTTTCTGATATTAAAAAGAAGTCTAGTCTACCTTGTTGTCGCGGGTTCTTTTTCCACCAGGTATATTTATTAAAAGTAGGGTTCAGTTCTCTCCAAATATCATGAAGATGATATCTCTCCATATTTTCTATAATAAAATTTCGCGCTTTAGGTTTGTTGATATGTTTATAATTTTCAAGATCTATTACCAAATTCCAATCACCACATATAACCCAAGAGTCATTTTCAAATTCTAGCATATCTGTAAATAATTGTTTATACAAATTTGGATCATCATTATTAGGGCCATAAATATTAGCAATTACCATATCAATTCCATCAATATTTAGTGAAACAATTATGAAATTTCCATTTTTATCCTTTTTATATGAATGTATATCGATTTCACAGTTATTGTTAAAAAGAATGGCTACCCCTCTAGCATTAGATCTTAAAGGAGCGATAATACTTTGCAGGCCCCATTCATTTCTCACAATTGTTTCGTTCTCCTCAGAGATATGAATATCTTGAAGGCATATTATGTCAAATTTATTTTTTCGATAAATATTCAATACTTCTTTGCGTTTATTTTTATTTGATAGCCCTCTACAGTTAGCAGATATTATTCTAATTTTACTAGTCATTGTCAAATTTTAAAAGTATGATTGTCAATATACACATAACCACTCTAGGAAATTGCAAGCCACTGAAACCGTTTTTTAGTTTTTAAAAAAAACATAAATTGAGAAAAACATAAAAACAAACACATGTACCTCCTTTCATCAGTCTTGTCCACCTATTGGATCTGATACCTAAAATCCACCTATGAATATCTGGATATTTATATCATAAGGGAAAGGCCAAATCAAATTTACTGAGGCCTGGCAAAAATAGTTATTATGAATTAGCATATATCTTCCTGCTAATCAATAGAGGTTATCACGCGAGTGCGTTTGGGGATGGTAAATATCCTGCATTAGGAATAAACATTGTATTTAGCAAGCCTTGGTGAGCTAAATACATAGTGTTTATTCCTAATACAGGATATTTACCATCCCCAAACACACAAGCGTGATAACCTCTTTATCATATAATGTCATTCTTTAATTCTGTGCTTTAAAATCGCTTTCCCTCTCTCACAAACATTACCGAAATATTGCAAGTTTTCCTGGAATGCGCGCATTAATATTTATTACGTCATACTTACGCTAGAGAGATGGCCTGAATTGTGTTGAGCGTCGATTCCCAGCAGTAGGCGGACAAAGCTGATCAGGTACCCTTTCACAAATGTCTGCGGGGAAGAAGAACACGAACATTGGAGCATTATATTGATGCTTTCCTCTTCCTCATGATCCAAAAACATTTATTCTTGAAAGCAAACTTATATTAGAATACCCTGGAATCTGATTTTAAATTTAAGATGAATAGGAAACTTAGAAAGGCCTACACATTACCACATAAGACATAAACAGATTTAGAATTCTTTTTTAGATCCACTGACGTCAGCCTCATTGATTAGCACCTGTATCCCCATAACTTCCCCATAACTTCCAAGATGTTAGCTCTATCACATTGTGTGCCACCTTTATTACAGATTGCAGGGAGCAAAGTGTCATTGTAAGGAGCTTGCCCAGATGGCTGTCTGCTAGTAGAATTTTCTGGCACTCAGCTAGCTGTCTGGCTGAGAGATAGGGAATCTTATTCTCTTACCAGTACTCCTTGGAGGAAAAGGATAGACTGAAGCTTCTAAGAAGAGAAGTCATCGTAATGTGAAAGTTCACTTTTTGTTATTTGTGTGACATGAAGGCAAATAATTTTCAATGATAGGCTGAGGAAATTATACTAATTCATGAATCATTCCAAATGTGGACAAGCCATCGAAAGATCTACCATATAAAGGAAATAAGCCACCGATCTGAGTATTCACCCTGAATGTGAATCTGACCTTGGATCAGAATCTTACACTTGTGTTTATGGTTAGAGGCTGGATAGATGTACAGTAGAACATGGATATAACGAACTACAAGGGACCGGGGAAATCAGTTTGTTTATACGTTGTTCATTACCGTATTCGACATAATAAGCGCCCAGGGCGCTCTCAAAATTAGAAATAGGGGGCTCTTATTAGAATATATATTTTTGAGTTCAAAGAGCGTAAATTTCGTGGTTTATGCTGAAATGTTTATAAACGACAGATATATTTTTCCAGAATTTAATTGCCCATAATTAAGGGTGCATATAACAAACGTATTATGCACGAATAAATAGCCTTGTGTACATTTATCAATCGGAAGGGGTGCTAATTAGGATTGTTCACTAGCCAGTATATTAACAAATATCGCCGTGGGCGCTTATTAGAGCGGGGCGCTTATTACGTCGAATACGACGTAATAAGCGCCCGGGCGCTCTCAAAATTAGAAATAGGGGGCTCTTATTAGAATATTATTTTGGTGAAAAAAAACATGGATGAAAGATAAATTTCGTGGTTTATGCTGACAGCCTGAAGTGTTTATATGCGACAGATATATTTTTCCAGAATTTAATTGCCCATAATTAAGGGTGTATATAACACACGAGTGCGTATTATACGCGAATAAATAAGTCCTTTGTACATTGATCAATCGGAAGGGATGCAAATTGGGCTTGTTCACTAGCCAATATATCAGCAAATATCGCCTTGGGCGCTTATTAGAGCGGGGCGCTTATTACTTCGAATACGTATATACGTTTTCGCTCGGAAACAGCCGCCATCTCACAATACACATACACGTTTATACACGTTGCCTCCCTCTTCTACCGGTGATTTAGTTTAAAAGTACCCAATGATACAACTTCAAAACATTTTGATGCAATGGTCAGAAGAAATTGTATCTGAAATTATTATTTTATCAGAATAATATATTCCAATAATGTGTTAGTTACAGCTTTCACTATATATATTTAAAATTATAAGAACCATAAGCGTAGCACTTTGGTACAGGTGATTGCTATTGCCGGATATTTTTACGTATGAAACAATTTGACCAGTCATCGTAGGGACTTCCCGATTGCGAACACTGAGTAACATTTCTCAGTTCGCTATACACGTCACTAATTAGTGGTAGATTGGCTTGTCGGTGATCAGATATCAGTTCGCTATTTACGTTAGTTTGCTGTAGAGAGTTCGTTATGTATGTAAATTTTATATGATAAAATATAGGAGATAAATCGGAGATTTCTTAACAGTTTGTTGTATCCGTTTGTTCACTCTATCCTTGTTCGTTATATCCGTGTTCTAGTGTAGATAGATACATCAATTATAAATTCATCAATTATTTGGACCCCGAAGGTAGCGTTGTAGCAAGGGATCACTGTATGTTGCACAGCCAGTAACTGCTTTTCAATTTCAAAGGAAGGCAAGTCCATATATTTGTTAACTATCAAGCAAAGATAAGTCAACATGTTTCTTAAATATCATCCATGGCTATCCTGTTAGAATGTATGAAGTCTCTTTTTCATATTCCAATGTCTTTTCAGAAGTAAACCTGATAGATATATGGCTGACACGACACATGGCAATGCTGGAGATGTGGCAACCACTTTGAGGTGGGTGCAGCCGTACCTGGTACAGGAGCCGGTCCAGCATCCCTGCACTAAACACCTGGCCTGCAGCGAACGGGAGTCGGAACAGATGGGGCAAGTTGGAGCTTGTCCTCTCCTTCAGTTTCTGGGGATAACATGTCATTTTATCATGATAAACATTGCAATAATTAAACCATCTTCAATTGTCACACAGAACGTAAATACTTTGCCTAGAAATGTGTGTGCAATAGCAGCATCTTCACTGAACAGAGAGAAAAGGTCTCAAGAGGTCTCAAATACAAAACAATTTTGCCAATGTTAATTCGATATATCTTCAAAATGGCCATAGATGAAGATCAAGGAGGTATCTTATGTTGTGAACACTTGTAGAACGGTACTAATTATTGTGGCTTCCCTAGGCAGGGTGGAAACTTCACTAAATCCTGCCAATCTTCTGGGCATAATCTATGAAAATAGAAATCCAGTAAACATAAAATGACATTAAAAAGACTGATTTGCCATTTTTCTGCCCTGGTTTAGAATATATATCTTGTTTGATCACAGTATGCATGTCAGATATATGTTTCAACCAAGATTAGATCAGATGTTCTTTTAAGCAGACTTTTCATTAAGTTTGTTTGATATGTTTGGTATACAATGTACTGGCAATTTAAATAAATTGTCCATAAAAAAAATATTTTTTCCACGAATTCATGTTTTCATGAATGTGTGTTCAGTCAGCTACAAAAAGAATCAACCTGTGAAGATCCCGGGGTAGAATAGGTCGTCAGGAACCCAGGCTTGCCGTAAAAGGCGACTATGCTTGTCGTAAAAGGCGACTTATGGGAACAGGTGGTCAGGCTACTACTAAAATATACCCTTATTCATAGTTAGAATTAACAGGTAGATAAAAATAATAGTAAACCAACTCGTGAATGACTGTTGAAGATCCTACCTTTTCCAGCTTGGATATCTCCTGTGAGTACACATCGTGGGCCTGGAACTGCATGAAGCGCATGTTGGATGCATCGTTCAGCTCCGTGATCACGTTGGTGTTGGGGAACAATCTGAAATGAACCAAAATCCACCTTATTCTTGAACTACCACTAATGGACAATAAATACACAAGCAGAATCAAGAAATTCATCCCTTCTCTCAGACTCTATCCCACATGATATCAGGGGAGATGGGATAGCCTAGTGGTTAGTGCAGTCGCTCATCAGATCTAAGACTCGGGTTTGATTCCCCAGATGGGTACAATATCTGAAGCCCATTTTTGGTGTCCCCGACCATGATATTGCTGGAATGACGCTAAAAGTGGCATAAAATGCAAACCAAAACCGACTGACTGACTCATCAGGTCACTGCTAATATTTGTCTCTTCTTCCTTGTAGACATACCTGCAGCAAGACTTTCAGTGCAGACAAAGCATGGCTGGAAGAGAGGGATGTGATGGATCAAGAATTACCTGGATATCTTCTGGACTGTCACAACTGTTTCTGCATCAGCAAGAGTCTCCTCACTGGCGTCAATGTCCGACTCTTTATTGGAGATGACGACATGAGACGCGTGGTTGATGCCAGCACGGAGAAGGTCATCAATGCTGGGGAAGGGAGAGGTTGTAGCGTGATGACAAAACAAACAAAATGATTTAACTTTGGTGAGAAAAATCTGTTCAATCACACAAGTACTAGAAGTCACATTCTTTTCTATTTTGAATTTAGTTTAAAAAGGCAGATAAACAACGATACCTGGAGATTTTTCCTTGTAACCAGTAGACAAGAGGGAATGCAGCAATAGTCTCCAAGAACATTGTATCTGGTCTGGAAACAAAACCAAAACCTAGTGAACCCACAGAGTCATGAGCAGAAAATACCCCAGTGGTCAGAAGCAATATACATACTATAGCAGTCATCAGTAACATCACAGCAATAACTGAAATCTAGCATCGAGCAGTCAAAACAGGGATTGCCAATATGAGTTTCAGGGGCGGATCCAGCATTTTTAAAAAAGAGGGGTCCAAAATATCAAAATCCTCTCTCATATAATTTTACTGCCTACTACATGCATTTGGTTTTAAAAAGCGGGTCCGGACCCAATGGACCCCACTTCTGGATCCGCCCATGAACTGACACAGGGTGTGACGTCACATTAGCAAGATCATATCTGCATGGTCTTCATTCCTTATGGTCATAGAAAAGTGCTTGCCACATTTACTGACCAGTTCGGCCATCTTTTCCACCCTATTGTTCTTTCATTCTTTAACAGGGACAGACTGATTGCTTGAGTCCCTACAGACTTTGAGACAAGTTACCAGCATCAGCTGTGTGTAACGTACTCTTGTTCCAGCAGCAGAACTATGGGGCTGAGAGAACCGAGACTATGGAAGCTGGTCCGTAGCGGCACGATGAAGTTGTAGATCCCGGTACTGGCATACTCAGCAGCCAGGATGATGATCTGGCCCTTCCAGTGGTCATCTTTGGCTGTCTTGGTCTGACAGTGGTCGCAGTTCTGTCACAACACACAACAACAATTACTCATGTAGGACACATTATTGGAGGGGATTCCCCGAACCTGTGATGTTAACTCACCTGACAAAAGAACCAAGGTTTGAAGTATGGTAGCCCATAAAATGAGCCAATGTATACATCAGCACCTTCCCCTATCCCTCCATACACACAGACACACTTGGAGAAGTCTACATTAGTCACCTCTTACAACAAGGACAGTCGCCTTTTAAGGCAAGCATGGGTTGCTGAAGACCTATTCTAAAGATCTTCATGGGTCTTGTAGCCTACACACTTTACCAGTGGTGATCAACAGTTAATCGAAATTAAGAAATGCACTTTTATGTCAAATATAAGGTGTAATATTTGAGTCAGTATGGTTTTACGTCGCTTTTAGCAATATTCCAGCAATATTACGGCTGGTGGCACCAGAAATGGGTTCACACATTGTACCCATGTAGGGAATTGAACCCAGGCCTTTGGCGTGATGAGCAAACGCTTTAACCACTAGGCTACCCCACCGCCCCTTTGGTGTTATAAACAAGAAGGGAACTTTATAAGGCTTTGACAAATGAGGGTACCATGAATGAGGGTCACAAGTTATACCAGTTTTGGGAATCAAACCCAGAAGTTACCCATGAAATAACCGAGACCCTCACTCCCACACAAGACTATGCTGCAGTACCTGCCCCCACTCCAGACAGCAGTAGGGCCTTGGGTCCTGGTGAAGATGGCACTTGGTTCTCCGGGTCCCCACGTACAGTGTGCTGGGAGGGGAGCCAGTCATGTACCTGCACAGACAAGAGACAGGGTGAGGGACATCCTTGCATCATTGGCAAGCTCACTTCAGATACCTGATTTTTGTTTTTTCAGAAATAATATTTTGTATATAATTGAAACCCTTCCTCATTCTCATAACATCTCACAAAAAAACACCACCACATCCACTATCTCACCCATCAACACCACCACATCCACTATCTCACCCATCAACACCACCACATCCACTATCTCACCCACCAACACCACCACATCCACTATCTCACCCATCAACACCACCACATCAGCTATCTCACCCATCAACACCATCACATCCACTATCTCACCCATCAACACCATCACATCCACTATCTCACCCACCAACACCACCACATTCACTATCTCACCCATCAACACCACCACATCCACTATCTCACCCACCAACACCACCACATCCACTATCTCACCCATCAACACCACCACATCCACTATCTCACCCACCAACACCACCACATCCTCTATCTCACCCATCAACACCACCACATCCACTATCTCACCCATCAACACCACCACATCCACTATCTCACCCACCAACACCACCACATCCACTATCTCATCCATCAACACCATCACATCCACTATCTCACCCATCAACACCACCACATCCACTATCTCACCCACCAACACCACCACATCCACTATCTCACCCACCAACACCACCACATCCACTATCTCACCCATCAACACCACCACATCCACTATCTCACCCACCAACACCACCACATCCACTATCTCATCCATCAACACCATCACATCCACTATCTCACCCATCAACACCACCACATCCACTATCTCACCCACCAACACCACCACATCCACTATCTCACCCACCAACACCACCACATCCACTATCTCACCCATCAACACCACCACATCCACTATCTCACCCACCAACACCACCACATCCACTATCTCACCCATCAACACCACATCAACTATCTCACCCATCAACACCACCACATCCACTATCTCACCCATCAACACCACCACATCAACTATCTCACCCATCAACACCACCACATCCACTATCTCACCCATCAACACCACCACATCCACTATCTCACCAATCAACACCACAAGATCCACAACCTCACCCATCAACACCACCGCATCCACTATCTCACCCATCAACACCACCACATCCACTATCTCACCAATCAACACCACAAGATCCACAACCTCACCCATCAACACCACCGCATCCACTATCTCACCCATCAACACCACCATATCTACTTTCTCACCCACCAACACCACCACATCCACTATCTCACCCATCAACACCACCACATCCACTATCTCACCCATCAACACCACCACATCCACTATCTCACCCATCAACACCACCACATCCACTAACTCACCCATCAACACCACCACATCCACTATCTCACCCATCAACACCACCACATCCACTAACTCACCCATCAACACCACCACATCCACTAACTCACCCATCAACACTACCACATCCACTATCTCACCCATCAACATCACCACATCCACAACCTCACCCATCAACACCACCACATCCACTATCTCACCCATCAACACCACCACATCCACTATCTCACTCACCAACACCACCACATCCACTATCTCATCCATCAACACCATCACATCCACTATCTCACCCATCAACACCACCACATCCACTATCTCACCCACCAACACCACCACATCCACTATCTCACCCACCAACACCACCACATCCACTATCTCACCCATCAACACCACCACATCCACTATCTCACCCACCAACACCACCACATCCACTATCTCACCCATCAACACCACATCAACTATCTCACCCATCAACACCACCACATCCACTATCTCACCCATCAACACCACCACATCCACTATCTCACCAATCAACACCACAAGATCCACAACCTCACCCATCAACACCACCGCATCCACTATCTCACCCATCAACACCACCACATCCACTATCTCACCAATCAACACCACAAGATCCACAACCTCACCCATCAACACCACCGCATCCACTATCTCACCCATCAACACCACCATATCTACTTTCTCACCCACCAACACCACCACATCCACTATCTCACCCATCAACACCACCACATCCACTATCTCACCCATCAACACCACCACATCCACTATCTCACCCATCAACACCACCACATCCACTATCTCACTCACCAACACCACCACATCCACTATCTCATCCATCAACACCATCACATCCACTATCTCACCCATCAACACCACCACATCCACTATCTCACCCACCAACACCACCACATCCACTATCTCACCCACCAACACCACCACATCCACTATCTCACCCATCAACACCACCACATCCACTATCTCACCCACCAACACCACCACATCCACTATCTCACCCATCAACACCACATCAACTATCTCACCCATCAACACCACCACATCCACTATCTCACCCATCAACACCACCACATCCACTATCTCACCAATCAACACCACAAGATCCACAACCTCACCCATCAACACCACCGCATCCACTATCTCACCCATCAACACCACCACATCCACTATCTCACCAATCAACACCACAAGATCCACAACCTCACCCATCAACACCACCGCATCCACTATCTCACCCATCAACACCACCATATCTACTTTCTCACCCACCAACACCACCACATCCACTATCTCACCCATCAACACCACCACATCCACTATCTCACCCATCAACACCACCACATCCACTATCTCACCCATCAACACCACCATATCTACTTTCTCACCCACCAACACCACCACATCCACTATCTCACCCATCAACACCACCACATCCACTATCTCACCCATCAACACCACCACATCCACTATCTCACCCATCAACACCACCACATCCACTAACTCACCCATCAACACCACCACATCCACTATCTCACCCATCAACACCACCACATCCACTAACTCACCCATCAACACCACCACATCCACTAACTCACCCATCAACACTACCACATCCACTATCTCACCCATCAACATCACCACATCCACAACCTCACCCATCAACACCACCACATCCACTATCTCACCCATCAACACCACCACATCCACTATCTCACTCACCAACACCACCACATCCACTATCTCATCCATCAACACCATCACATCCACTATCTCACCCATCAACACCACCACATCCACTATCTCACCCACCAACACCACCACATCCACTATCTCACCCACCAACACCACCACATCCACTATCTCACCCATCAACACCACCACATCCACTATCTCACCCACCAACACCACCACATCCACTATCTCACCCATCAACACCACATCAACTATCTCACCCATCAACACCACCACATCCACTATCTCACCCATCAACACCACCACATCCACTATCTCACCAATCAACACCACAAGATCCACAACCTCACCCATCAACACCACCGCATCCACTATCTCACCCATCAACACCACCACATCCACTATCTCACCAATCAACACCACAAGATCCACAACCTCACCCATCAACACCACCGCATCCACTATCTCACCCATCAACACCACCATATCTACTTTCTCACCCACCAACACCACCACATCCACTATCTCACCCATCAACACCACCACATCCACTATCTCACCCATCAACACCACCACATCCACTATCTCACCCATCAACACCACCACATCCACTACTCACCCATCAACACCACCACATCCACTATCTCACCCATCAACACCACCACATCCACTAACTCACCCATCAACACTACCACATCCACTAACTCACCCATCAACACTACCACATCCACTATCTCACCCATCAACACCACCACATCCACAACCTCACCCATCAACACCACCACATCCACTATCTCACCCATCAACACCACCACATCCACTATCTCACCCATCAACACCACCACATCCACTATCTCACCCATCAACACCACCACATCCACTATCTCACCCACCAACACCACCACATCCACTATCTCACCCACCAACACCACCACATCCACTATCTCACCCATCAACACCACCACATCCACTATCTCACTCACCAACACCACCACATCCACTATCTCACCCATCAACACCACCACATCCACTATCTCACCCACCAACACCACCACATCCACTATCTCACCCATCAACACCACCACATCCACTATCTCACTCATCAACACCACCACATCCACTATCTCACCCATCAACACCACCACATCCACTATCTCACCCATCAACACAACCACATCCACTATCTCACCCACCAACACCACCACATCCACTATCTCACCCACCAACACCACCACATCCACTATCTCACCCACCAACACCACCACATCCACTATCTCACCCATCAACACCACCACATCCACTATCTCACCCACCAACACCACCACATCCACTATCTCACCCATCAACACCACCACATCCACTATCTCACCCACCAACACCACCACATCCACTATCTCACCCACCAACACCACCACATCCACTATCTCACCCACCAACACCACCATATCCACTATCTCACCCATCAACAATCTCACCCATCAACACCACCACATCCACAACCTCACCCATCAACACCACCACATCCACTATCTCACCCATCAACACCACCACATCCACTATCTCACCCATCATTTAGTTGAGGTATTGATATTCAGTATTATGTCATTTCATTACATCATTCAAAACTGTCGACGATATGGTGTGGCGTTCCTGTCAACTACTGAACTTCTAGCTTGTCATCAATGTATCACCATGGAGCCACAGACAAACACATGACCATGCCAGTTGGATCAATCATTACACCCCCAATCCTCACCCATCCAAAGCAGCCTCTGGAAACAGCCCCATGACTTTGCCGATGGGTGACGGTGTCGAATCGTTCACGGTGTCCAGGGTGTCGGTGCAGTCGTAGTCCGGGGAGTTGGGTTCACTTGATTCCTCGATGTTGTCCACCGTGATCTTCAACAGCGGCAGTGCTGCAACATGTACAACATTGTTCTAACATCCACACGAAGTTACTCATCCATATATTACATTTGGTTGAAAATAAAAAGTAAGCATGAAAAAAAGTTTTTAAAAAAATACTCATATGATCAGAAGTATTTGTCATTATATTAAATTTATTAACAGTACAGATTTCATGATGTGATCAGTATAAAAATGGTTGTCAAAAAGACTTTGGAAACTATACTGCAATACTTTTGGTTTTTAGATATATTTAATAATTGTTTGTTTGAAAAGAACACGAACATCAGGTTTTTTGACAGTCACGTGTAGGGAATTATACTACTCAAGTTTTGACAAGAATGTATTTATTTTCCCATGATACATGAAACTGACACTCATAATATGTAAAAAATAAAATATATATCTGATTATCCCTGTCAAAAGATGAGTAGCATATATCAACAATGTGTCAGGGATGTCACAGTGTCAAATGACTTAATCCCCAACTGCAATTTAGCCTGAAAAATAAATACATAGTAGTACTTTTTGACTGGAAAGATGAAATCAAAAATGAAAAAAATCACATCTATAAGGAAAAAACCATTGACATTAAATAAAGCAAAACGTATGTATCATGTACATGTAACATAGAACACATGTCAAAGCAAGCCAACATCAGCACATGTATCAGGCATGATGCACAATCCTGGAGGGAGGGAGGGAGGAATCATACATCTCACCTGTGAACATCAAGTAATTACACATCTATTTCACTGTCGGTCAAAAGGAATATGCTTACCAATATATTCACATTGATATAAGTTCTGGATCTATCATTCAAATTTAACATCATAATGTGGTTTTAACAGCTGAATCATCTCCTGATTGTGTAAATGTCTTCATAATAAGTGGGCACAGGTGGTTCAGTAGTCTATTTCAAGACCTGGGTAATTCATCGCACAGACAATTCCTGACCAATGAAGGAATATTCCCCACACAGACAATTCCCCACCAATAAATTCCCAACACCCAACAATAACTTTTAATATGAAAATAATCAAGACCAGACAATCCAGTGATTGACACCATGAGCATCGATCCATGCAAATGGGATACAATGACATGCATCAACCAAGTCAACGAGTCTGAACACCCGATCCCGTTAATCGCCTTTTACGACAAGCATAGTCGCTTTTTACGGCAAGCATGGGTTGCTGAAGGCCTATACTACCCCAGATCTGCACAGGTATGGAATTGATAAGTAGTGATTGGGAGAGTAGGAGAGGAAGTGAGTTGTTACTGATTACTATCATAAATAAAACCTCTCTTTCTGTCACCCTTATCAATGGGACTTATATATTTGCTTACTGTTGATGAACATACGCAGAAATCAATGAAGACATTGAAAATGAAATATTATCATATGGTCACTTGTTTATCATTATTTAAATGTATCTGTTAATATGTGGGAAAAATCCATGTTGGTCGTTGTCTATGTGGAGTGTTGTCTGTGTGGGGATTTGTCTGTGTGGGGTGTTGTCCGAGTGACGAATTGCCCTACACTGTGAAAAGTTGTCTCCCCTAGCTACCAGGATCTTCTGGTTGTGGTTTGAATCCCAAATTCACCCTGATTATCCCCCTTGGCTTTCAGTACCATTCCTGAAGGTTTCAGCACCGAGGGAACCATCTTTGACATGTCATGGCTTTTCTCCTATATAAAGCTAAAACTGTAAAATAACAAAACTATTGTTCCAAGAGGGAGAAGCCCAAAACATACACTTTTGATTTAAAAGATACATGGAAAAGAATACCTTATTATTTCTAAATTGCAATATGTTTCGTAAAACCTTTGAAACCACTGAGATCGAAAGCTTACTTATTGAAAACCCACTTAAAAAGCAAAGCTTTGCTTGACATGACAAACATGTAGGCAAATTCAAATGTTTATAAAAGTTATAATACATCTGTTAATCATATTACTATCAAGAGGAAAGGTTGAGTCAAGTCATATTGGATGTAATTAGTCATTAAAATGTTAAAATCAATTATTTTAAGTAACATATCTGTTATATTAATATCATTTTAGTTTAATCAAGGACAAATATATCTGCTCTCATTGTGATAGAATTTCCAAGCAATGTTTAAATCTATTGCTGCATCTGCTTGCAAATTGAAGGCTTGATTTGTGATGATAATGGAGTGGCCTTCACTAGCCATGGGCAGCTGAATGACGCAGTTATAAACTGGAATATTTAGCGGAAAAAATAGCAATTTCTTTTCTTTCTTAATCAAGTCAGTAATTAGGTGAGAAACTGTTCAATATCCTAATCAAGAGGATACATTTTCTACAGCTGATCAAGGAAAATGCTGCCATGGTCTCCTTTTGCACAAGGTCATTGAAGACTGGTTATTGTATATTATTTTATGTGTACTGCCCACATTGTGGTTAACTTATATCAAAGCAAAATATTAAAACACTATTAAAAAAATAATCTAACTCAAGTCATTTATGCAAAAATACAAGCACATAGCCACCTGTTAGGTGTCCCCAGCAAGATCAGAAAAAGTTCCAGCATTCATCAGATTGGCCATGTGTTTGTGTGTTTGTTGTTTAACGCCACACTCAGCAATATTCCAGCTATATGACAGCGTGCTGTAAATAATCAGGTCTGGACCAGACAATCCAATGATTGACATCATGAGCATCGACCTACACAACTGGGATACGATGACATGCATCAACCAAGTCAGCGAGCCTGACCACCCGATCCCGTTAGTTGCCTCTTACGACACGTAAGCATGGAGCGAAGACTTATTCTAACCCAGATCTTCAAAGTTTACAAAGCCTTGTGGTTCAATTCCCCAGGGAAAAACAACGGTCACCGACTCATTCACTCAACAGTGACACACACCATTGAGGTCATGCAGAATGCTGTATTTTTGTCAAGGTAGTCAAACATCATAATCCCATCACAAGGAGATCACAATGTTTGATTTCAGCTTGATTAGGTTCGTCACATACGGACCACTTTGCCTCTTTTCTTTCGTTTGTCGATGAAGGTGACATTTAATGAGTGTTTCGCTGTACTTTTGCTCAACTGGATGATAAATGAGATACTACTTAAATACCTTTGCTTCTAACCAACTAACAGAAATAGTGATTTTCATTGCAAAGGGATAGAGACCCGTTATGAGAGTTGTCAACTGACCACGAGCCAAGAGAGATCATATCAGTTAAAAATGTTAATAACAGATGTTAAAGTAGTAAAACAAACAGAGATATAATGTTCAAACAGATGTCATGCAATCATGCAACATACAAGTTGTACATCTTAACACTTAAAAACAAATCCTTTGAGCATACAACAACAGCCAAGCAATTACATGCTTCAACTCAAACTAAAATGATTCAATTTTATATATAAAAACTAGATACTTCTGGAGTCATAACTTTGAAAAATCAAACATATAATAATTGCTAAACACTGTTATGTAATAATGCTGGGTTTATGAAATCAATATAATGGTACTTCATATTATTTGATACCTAACAAGAATCTTTTGGGATTGGTGCTCAACTGGTGTTCTGTACTCTAACCAATATTATCTGACATTTGACTAGCTTGCCATGGACATTTGACGTGTCAACATTGACTGTAATCTAAAGATCAGTTCCATCAATATTTGTGATATTTATGGTCTGAGACCAGTCCAAGACATGTTCCTAGTCATCTTTAGAACAGTCGAATAAGTCTTGAGTACCAACTGATTTTTGTTCAAATGCATTTATATTTATAACATCCACAAATGTGCATTGTCACAGCAGTAAGACAAAACGAGGTCATGTGAGTGACCTTGACCCCATTAATATTGATAAAGATTTTGCTATATCGACCTTCATGTTTGAACTTGGTTTACATCAATTTGTTAAAGCACACCTTAAAAAAAGTGTAGTTTCTTCTTTTTGAGCCATTAAGAAGAAAAGAAATGCCAATCTTGCTCAAAAAACACTTCAGCCGAAACAGAACTCTCTTTGATGGTCTGACTGTATTTGGGCACCATGGATTTGTGTTTACTCAAGTTATCATCACGTTAGCAAACATTATAACATGTCAGTGGTACTGAGGATGGCACAAAGGACGACGGACACTGCCCAAGTTAATAAGCTCTACTGGTCTATGACTAGATGAACTGATGACAGATATGACAATTCATACAGAGAAAAGTTACATTAATTAGATTATTCAGTCAGTTCTAAATGATGTGGTTGTTATTTAAAAGAAGTGTACATTCTTGATTTCTTACAAATCGGTCCTGTTTGAGTTGTTGAACTTGGAGACTGGCCATTTTCTTGAGTGTGACCATTCTGATCATTTCCTTGACCTTCACCTGGTTAGTGTGAGTGGTCATAAAAAGTTGACAAAATTAATGACATGCTAACACAAATTAATCCATGAATTAGGGACCTCATTCTGCCCTGTTGTAAGTTCATACCCATTAATACATTTCCTGGCGTCATCAAACCAAGAATGAAAACCATCTAACTTATGGCGCTGTTGCTCATTTCAGAATGAGAGTATTTGCATGTTAATTATCATTAAAGATAAGACCGTCTTCTCTGCTGCAATTATGACTTTGAGAATTGAGATACAGTCGAACCTTGTTGTGTCAAACTTGGATGTGCCAAATTCCTTGTTGTCTCAAACTCATTTGAGAGTCCCAAGTGTCCAAATTAGGCATAAAGCTCCCCTGATGCCTCGAACACCTGATAACTTGAACCTTGTCCAGGTCCACAAGAGTTTGACACAACGAGGTTCGTCTCTATTGTCCAAAACACTCCTTTTCTTGTTTTCCATTTGGTCATTAAGCCAAGATGGACGAGTCAGTAGTTAAAAAATAGGTTGTCAGGGTTGACATGAGGTTACTTTTGACCACAAAAATGTATATTGTGCAATCAAAAACATAATTTTTCACTTTTGCAAAGTTTTCACAGGCCCATCTGTAAGACATGAAAGTTAGTCTGGCCCTATTGTAGCTTTCCATATATGGCCATATGTAGACAATCTGGTCAATGGCAGGTTAAAATTTTAGCCTGGATGTTGGCGTTGAATCTGTTTACATTAAGTTACTTTTTAACAATATTAGTTCCACAAACCCAAAGATATCATTATTAGATGGAATATATATAAACCTACAGGAAGGGAAAAACCATATGATCTCACTGGACTTGTGGTCAGGATGTAAGGAAAACACATTACCGTATTGGTTCTAATAATACACACCCTTACTACATGGAGGCTAAATGTATCACTCAATCAAGGCCAGACTACATTTCTACTGCTTTACATATGAGACTATTGTAAATACTGCAAAATATACAAAGGGAGCAGGATTTGATTGCAAATGCTTACAAGATATGTTGTGTCTTAACATTTAATCAAGACTGGCAAGTGTTTTTGTCTGGAAAATATAGCCGGTGCAGCCAAACCATTTTCAGCCATTTCAAAACAAAAACTAAAGTCTTATGTTCATGTTGGTCTCTCTCTGGTTGGCCTCAGTTAATGGGAATCATTTTTGTCCCCAAATCTTGTCATTTCATCCTTGAAAATACATAAATATGTTCTGTCCCTTACCATTAAAACTAGGAACACTTAAAGTTGATCAAACTTTCCTTGCTCTGATACACTTACCTGGTACTTAGGAAAGATCATTTTGAAAAATATGGTATTCTATTTAATCAAAATGAAAACTTCTCACCAACTACTAACAATGCCAGTCAAACAGGTGAAAATGAAAGCTATATCAACTAAATGACAATTGCCAGTTCCACTGTTTTCTTATCATGGACAAAGAAACAGCACTTAGGTTCTGCAGCTCACTCTAATACACCCATGTCCACATGAGTGCAGTTGGAAGATAGCGGGAATTCTTTTTCATTATATCTCAGAAGATAGTTTTCAATTTTTCAGTTTACCATGTTACAGACATAACCAATCAGTCATAAGTCATAAAATAAAACTAACAATGTTGGTATTTGTTGTCATTTGATATAAATTTGTTGGAAAACAATTTGACATCCTTGGCCAAAGCAACTTTTGACAAATTGAATACAATGTATACAATACTGAATTACCCACATGCAAATTTAATGTTTTGACCTACCTAAGATAACCGTGTCAGTAACAATTCAATAAACCATATGGTGAAGAACTGTGCCTTTTCTTTGTTTACTGATCGTTGACAAAAATTTGGAAAAACACTTTATACAAATATATTTCAGTAATTTACAAAACTTCCCGGTCAGTTAATAAAGAGGTATAATTGTGAGGTAAATGGAAGAGAATGACTCCAGACAAAACATCCCTTTAAAGTTTCATCATTGTCATTCAAAGAAACACATTTATTGGTCATTATCTTTTGAAAAGCTCAGCACTTTATGTCTTATGACTCTAGACAAGACGCATAATAAATATGATGCTTCTCTTTCTTATTTCTGGGAAGAAAACCATCCATATCAATGTTTCAATTATTGTTTTATTGTTTGTTTCAAAAACATTTTTTTAATTCTTAAGTACCCATTATGATGTTAGAAAGAAGTTGACCTCTATCGGTGACAGAAAACATGCCACGGACAGAAAGACGAAAGGATGGACGAACAGCACCCATTCCTATATCCCCCTTCCACTTCGTGCTGGGGTATATTAACATGGAGGATGTTTACTTATTCAGTGTACAGGCACATACAATACAAAGGGACACAACTCTGTCATTACTGACAGAATATGACAATTCCATGCCTAACATTCTGACCTCCATTGGTTAAATAGCCAGTTGAGGTAATTATAATTAGCAAAGTTAATGAAAAGTTTATTAAGATGTCCATGTATTGGGTTACAAAATCTAGATATATGATCAGTCTCATCACCTGAATCATCACCTCTTTCATTAAAACATGAATGTCTCCTACATACTCTTCATCTCATGTATATCAGGGTTAAGTAACACACACAACACAAACTGTTAACGAACACTGCAATGTATGGAGTTAGTCACAAACACATTGTATATACTTTGAACAGGGAATCATGTACAACAACACAGTTCATTCAAATAAAACATTAAAAATATGAATACATGACACGTTTAATGGATAGCAACTTTTCGACATTTCAGAGCTACTGCTTGCTCCATCAGGAGCAGAAACAAGAAATAGCTCTGAAACATCATGACGAAGTATAAAAAAAGTTGCTATCCATAAAAAGTGTCATGTATTCATGTTCTTCCAACTTCTAAATGCCTATCAAAGACTGTTTTAACAAAAACAACACAAACTTGAGAAATTCTTTGAGCATGTCAGTAATCCTCTGTAAACTTGACGCATAGCCTTATCTAGGAAATAGTTCTTCCAAAACTAGTCATGGGTTATATGACCAAGGTAAATATCAGTGAAGCAGGTGTTTAACATTATTTTGTAAAATTAATGGACTCACTCTGATATCCTGCACAACAGATACCGCTTTGTAAAATTAGGGAAAATTATAAGTACAAAAGTGTGGATGTTGTAAACAGCAATATTTCAGCTTAATTATGGAGGCCAATAAACAGTCGGGGGCCAGGCAAACCAGATGTTGATAGCACAAGCAATGGAAAGGGGTGAGACGAATCAAAGATACACCAATGTATAATGATGCATCTACTTTTAAAAGGACTTGTATCATACGTTGCTGATACACACTGATACACATAGTATCCAGACTGAGGTAATGCACAGAAAATACGATCAGGTCATCGCTGCAATTTTCAATGTTTAACTGTTTGTCCTTTTTTAAATTTCAACCAAGAGGCTTGGGCTCTAGACTGGTTTTGTTTACATTCTACTTTCAATTTGAACATCAGCTTGTCCCATTCGTGCTGTATCATGGTACATATTGTATTGTGACCTCACTATCATGATCCGTGCATCATGTATCATTGTGTATCGTCCCAGCTTTAGCAATGAGCCATTATGATGAGATATGACAATACATCGTGACCACCCTATCCTTACTTTGCTCAGTTCCGGTTCAGGTTCAGGCATAGCATTCACTTGGACCTACTGTAACCTATAATCCTGATGGACCCGTGAAGATCCAGGTAGAATAGGTCTTCAGCAACCCATGCTTGCCGTAAAAGGTGCCTATGCGACTAACGGGATCGGGTGGTCAGGCTCACTGTTTAGCGACGCCTAGAGATCCCTGGTAGAATAGGTTTGCCGTAAAAGGTGCCTATGCGACTAACGGGATCGGGTGGTCAGGCTCACTGTTTAGCGACGCCTAGAGATCCCTGGTAGAATAGGTCTTCAGCAACCCATGCTTGCCATAAAAGGCGACTATGCTTGTCGTAAGAGGTGACTAACGGGATCGGATGGTCACGCTTGCTGACTTGTTTGATGCATGTCATCATATCCCACTTGCGTGGATCAATGCTCATGATGTCAATCACTGGATTGTCTGGTCCAGACTTGATTATTTACAGACCACTGGAATATAGCTGGAATATTGCTAGGTGCTGCATTAAACAACAAACAACTATAATCCTGATGATCATAAACATGAGAAATGTATGGCATTATCCATATAATACACAACTGCACGTGATTTTGTCCTCAAATTTAGATCCCTTGATAGAACCATTGAACTTCAAGCATTCCTTAAGTTAGGGGGAAAATATGAGAGACATCATTTAATATAATGGGAGTGATTTAAACATACTCAAAGAACCTCTTAATAAACACGACACACTGACACTACAAGTGAGTAGACTGTGACTGTATGATGTGTAGACTGTACATACTTTCTCCAGTCTGCATGAGACGGCGAGAGATGGAACTGCCGAGCTGGGACGTTATCGTGCTGAACACACTCTCATCATCCTCTACATCCTCTCCTTCACCCTCCGACTGCAGCCATTTCTGGATCTCGTTAGAAATCAACTCTGAAAACAATAAGCAAACATGAATCATTTAGAGAGCTCGGAATTATCAGAACTGTAATTATTTGGTTATTTGTTTTTCAAAGAGGATCTACTGTTTTGTCAAAATTTGAACACAATCTATTTCATTATTCAAGAAATTATATTTAAACCAAATGCAATTTGTTTTTAACATCAAACACACTGACCTCTGCTCATATCCTAATGATGTTAATCAATCACAGTAACATCAAAACCTTTCCCATTGTTCTCATCCTTATGATGTTAATCGATCACCTTCATCTAAAACACCCTCACCTATGTTCTTATTCGTATGATGTTAATCGATCACCTTCATCAAAAACACCCTACCTATGTTCTTATTCCTGTTGGCAGAGACGGACACATTCTCCATGGCGCCAGACTTGATCTTGGAGTTCTCCTCTCGCGTGACCCCCATGTAGAAACAATAGTCCGATCCCTTCAGGATGTAATCAGGGCCAGGATTGAGCTGCAGACTCGGCTCCGTCTTCGTCACATCTAACACAGCTACCAGAGACACCCCAAACCTGTGGCCGAGGAAAGCATTCATGGTGTTAACCAGAAATCAGCCAAGTATTCCCCAAATTAAATTTCTACCAACACTGACATACCACTGATCTGGACTTCAGATATCTACATTTCAAACCAATATTTAAAATATAAAATGCTGTATCTATCCAAAATAATCCCATACACCCTGATTATGTTTCTAGGTGTGTCAGCATTTTACCCATGCTTGAGGATTTCACCAAAGAGGTAAACATCGAAGACCTGCATCACTCCCGGCTTTCCCCCCAAAAGCTGACACTGTGACATTAGACGTGTTTCCCCGACTCAGTCATCGTCATTCTCATTATCACCTGGTATGAGCACACGCGGAGGCCTCTGTGAACTTCTTGCCGTCGTACTGTTTGAAGAAGGCACTCCGATTCAGCTGGATGTGGTACACCTCGTTGCCCGAGTGTCTGCCATACACCTGTTGCCACGCTTCTGTTGCCAATTCCCCCTCTCTGACCACACAATCAAATTAGATGAAATCAAGGAAAGAAAAGAGACAATCAGATATGTATTTTTCCAAAATACTTTTTAAGTTCTTGACCCAGTATCTGGATTATTGCAGTGTTCTGTGCATTGTGAATTTTTTTTATTGGTAAAATTAGGTTTGGAACGGTTATTCATGTGACTGCCAGTCCCTGTGGACCGGCAAATAGAGTACCTTTTACATCTTTGTTGTTGAACAAAACATTTGCGATATTCATATAAGTATATTTTTCAAACAAAGCCATTTTATCTGTTAACTTCAGGTTTCCCCTTTGTCTATCTTAAGTGAAAGGAAATAACATTTCGCTTTCCTTCAAGGTTAACTATATATTTTAAGCGCCTTAGTCTCGGAATATTCAAAAGAAAGAAGAGATAATTGTGACTGAACTTTGTGTGAATGACGTGAAGATCTAAGTTACTTCAGAGATGAGGTCATTGCATTGAACATGACGTTGAAAGAATTAACACCAGGTAACTTTCATACGTTTTTATTAGTTGAAAGTTGGGACTGACAAAAATTTTTGGGGACTGGTAATTTTTTGAATTAGCAGTAAAGAAGGACTCGCAGTTTCAAAAACCAGCAGGAACACTATATTGTTAGTGTATAGTTGCTGTCCGTCATGACCAATACAAGGGCACATAAATTAAATTATAAGTGTGTCTGTAATCTCTACTTACCTCCCCCTTGATGTGTGTAACAGCAAGGTAACAAGGGTAGACAACCCTGGGTACAGACAGTTGTTAGCCAGTAAAGCATATTTAAACTCATCTTCACAAACTACATGTTCTGTAAAGAGAAGAAAATAATGGGAGACTCAAATGAATGCAAATATTTGTATAACTTAATCAAATATTTAACTATTAGCAAACACCAAATAAATTGGACATGATTGAAGTGATTTATAGTTTGATGAAATAAGTATTTCTAAATTTTTTTCTCAAGTAATGCCCACCTGCAAATTTCACATGCATCTTATTTTCTGCACGGAAAAGCTGCACATATTGTCGACACTTTGGTGCAAAATCCTTCACAGCCCACGACCGTAAAATTGTATGCTGGTCCTGAAGAAAATGGAAATATCATTTTACCATTAAAATATCATTGTCACAGAACAATAAGTACAGAAAAAATTGTTCATAATGTTTTTTTCCCAAAGGATTTATCATAAACACAGTCTCAGCTGATATTGTATGGAAATACAAAATCTGTTCATTTAAAGGCTTTAATTAGTAACAGTCAAATATACTGATAATTTTATCCAACATTACTGAGAGACCAAAAAGAATAGTTCATCAGCTACAAAATTTTCTGTTGAAAATATGTTCTTAAAGTAAGTAAAAATGGAAAATTGAATTAGTAAAATTAAGGAGCTAATTGAGTGCAATGAAACAATTTAAAAATATCAAACATTTTTCGTTTGTATGTTAAATTTCAGTAATATACGATGAGATAAGAATTGCTTGCAAAATCCATAAAATTTCAATCTCAAAAGGCTCCTTTTGTTGAAGAGTGCAAATAAATTATAAAATAAATAAATGTTTACTGTAAATAAAGACTTAGATTCTAAGAAAATGATGTGAATAAACCAATTACCCAAGTATGTGACTAACATGCTTCAAATGTATGTGTTATGTCTGCAAGAAATAAGCTGTTCAAAAGTTATCCTGACAGTTCCTCTAGTCAATATGTTATTATTATAATAATTATTATTATTATTTTACAAATAGAATTATGATGTGGAGATAAATGTACTGTGTTCTCAATGTTCAGCCATAATACCAGTAGATTTGACAGCACTCACTTGAACTTGGGACCAAAGGTGTAAAGTGAGTTTCTGGTAGTGTCGCTCTCTATTGAAAAGATAGTATGTTTATCTCTGTTCTACCATGACCAATTCAAGAAGGGACCTTAATGTCATCACCAGGTTTGTGGCAGTGAATGAGCGAGCAAAAGTTTGTAAACAATTGAGTCTTCACCAAACAAACCAGAGGCTCATAGCATGAACAACTTTTGATAATGATTGTATCTACACTGAAATAACATGGGAAATCTTTCTGTGTTGATGCAGTCTTCTAAATTGACTATTTTATCAAGAGACATGTTATTGTGATTTGAAACCTCTGATTAACCCATCAGAAATGAGTATTTCAGTCATGGTAAAACAAAGCATTAAAAGCTATTCTTGTTTCAAAATGTTTTAACAGTGCAAGGAAAATTACCAAAATACCAACTCCAACTAGGGCTGTGTATTGGCAAACTGACTGTGTTGCAATATATGGCGATACAGGTATCTGTATTTTGATACGTATCACGATATTTTAGGAGCAAATGTGTTTGACAGTGATTGACACTGATTGTACATGCAGATCTTATTTTCTACATACTGAAGTAAATATTAATCGGAGTGGTCAGTCGCCGCCATTTTGTAGTCATGGATACAGGGGAGATAACAAGTGGGAGAAAAATATGTTTCTGCAATTTTGTCAATCAATTTGGAAAGGAAACATCATTAGTGGTGAGGTGAGATGAGATGGGTTAACGTCGCGTCCAAGATGATTGCACTTGCATAGCGACGTGCATGCATGTGCGTGTGGCTGCTTGTTCTATACCAGACTAATGCCAAATTTATAGTGCTACCCCACCGAGATACGATGCCACAGTTAAACATGAATACCCCACTCAGACACTGTCTACTGACTCCGAGCCGACCAGTCCTAATTTTAGCCCCCTAACGCCGAGCGCCAGGCAGGGTTACAACAAGTACTATCGCTTAACGTCTTTTTGGTATGATGCGGCCCGGGTTAGAACCCCCAACTTCCGCTCTCCCATCATTTGTGAAAGAGTAGTTTCATGTAGAGTTATGTGTAGATTTTAGGTTAAATGATATAAATAATAACAAAACTTATTATATATTATTTACCCAATACACCGGAACACACAAAAAAGTATGCAATACATATCGTTTGAAAAGCATATTACACAAAACACTATTGAAGAATAAACAGTTTTACAACCTCTGAGGTCATGTCTATTAAGAGTGAGAGTAAGCAGGACTTCATGCTGTGTTAAGAAACATAAAGAAGAAGAACACAGGGGCTTCATACATCACACCCATGTGAAGAGTGAGTGAGTGAGTGAGTTGGGTTTTACGCCGCTTTTAACAATATTCCAGTTATATCGCGGCGTGTCAGCTTAATGTGGGAGGAAAGCCCGAAGTGATGCAGGTCTCAGAAGTTTACCACTTCGGTGAAACCCACGAGCACGGGTATGGTGCTGACAAACCTAGAAACATAATCGAGGCGAACCGGGATTCGAACCCACAATCATAGGTTTCTGGCGTGCCCAAGGGACGCAACTCTGCACAGCGAATCGCGGCGCCTTAGACGACTGGGCCACCCGTGCCCCCCCCCCCCCATGTGAAGAATCCAACCCAAAGATTGTTCATACTGAGTGGATGAACCACGTGGCAAGTGGCTTCAGGGACTATGGTTTGTACACTCTCCTACCCAGAGTTCAATGCGGGCGGCAGCCAGCCAGCATAGTACCTCTGCCACAGGCCAGAGCCATGTGATGATTCGTCACATCCTTCACGGTCCATTTAAGATATTGCATAAGCTTTTCATCCTTTTCAAGTTTGACACGTCTACACATTTTCATAAACAAATGTCAAAGAATTGTTATGGTTAATTAAGAAAGTATCCTAATACGTGAAAATCTACATGTCTTTGCATAGTTATCCTATGTTTACATTGGTTGTACGACTCCACGTGCTGTCATCGAAGCCCAACGGAGAGCTGGCGATACAGTCACTTTGATATATAAATATATATTGTCATGCAACTCACTGTCACAGTTGTAGTAGCATATCTATATAATTATGCAAAACAATATGTAAAGTGCACCTAAATACTTGCATTAGTCTGCTCTATACTGATTTCTGAAATAGCGTGTTTGTTTACAAACAAGAGAAAAGTCCAGTCACGTGATATGCAAAGTAGCCTGTGGCAGTGGTGTTATGCTGAGTCACCACTGCGCCAGAGTGTGTGGTTTGTAGTGCAGAGTTCCTTCCCTTAGTTCTGTGGAACACAAGCTCCTCACAGCAATAGCCCGTATGCAGAGCTCTCTGTACTATCACTGCCAAGTCAAAGCTCCCCGCTGTGATAGGTGGCTACAACCATGCTTGGAGTCGAACTCGCAACCGAAGGGCCATTATGTTTACAAACAAGTGATGACTGCTGTGATGCCGAATACTCTTACCCCAACTAAATTCTTTTCTTTTTTTGTCAATTTGAACTTCAGTTTCATTACAACTATCATGTATTTGATATAGTAAGAATGTAAGGGGGGAAGTTGGTTGATTTTCCGTTCGTCTGTAATCTCAAACCAATTTCATCAAACAAGCAAAACGCTAAATTCATCTGGGAAATAGGGTCAGTCGTAAACCTTTTCAAAATTAACTATGATGGCATTCCCAAAGACATAAACAAAAGTATAAACATTTCTACATTAGGGTTTAGAGGGTAAATTTCAAGATTCTTTTAATGGCTGCGCCCACACTAGTAGCAGCGATGTTACTGAGGGTGTAACAAAGGTGTCACACGCTGGAAGGAGCTTTTGTGGAACCATCATTTTGGACTACCCTTAAACATTAGGCTTAATTGCCATTGACTGAAATACTGTTCTAAGTGACATGAAAACAAATTCACTCGTGAGTGACAATACCGACAACAGATTCATCCAGGTGTGAAGAGGGAATAGGAATCTAGTGCAGTGAATGCATGTATGAATACAGTTGCAGTCGGGATCATTCCAAGAGACAAATATGTTACACAACTCAAAACAATCAAAACTACAAACAACAACAACATATTTTCTAATGAAGTAAAAAGAAACTAATGTTGGAATATATCCAGAATGAAAACCCAAAACAGACCACCTTACTCAATAATGATGACAAAAACACATTAATTGATGGAAATCTTCTGAACACAAATTTCTTTTACATAAGCCGTCAATCAGACATTCAATTTACATGCGACACTGTTTCATTAATGATAATAATCATAATCATAATTATAAAATCTCCGAAAATATCTGGGTGGGTTAATATTTGACTAGGCAGCACTTCCCATTCGCTGTCTGGGCTGCGTGTTGAGGGGGCAAGGTCCCTGAGCTGATGATGAGCCTAACGAGCGATCACCCAAACCCTCTTTGATGCATTTTTATATTTTAATCTGTACATCAAGATGATGATGATCATGATGATGATGATGATGATGTATATAACCATCTGATCTAACTGTTATTTCTAACTATCATGAAATATGGATCATGAAATATGGTTAACCTGAATGAATACTTACTTGTGTTTTTAACTTCATTGTGTGTTAAAAGCAATGCAATAAATGAAGCTATCATTAATGAGTACATTTGTGTTTACTTGAGGGTCTCTCAGGGTTTCTGTACATGTGAAAAAGATGTGAAAATGTTGTATGCAAATATGAACCCTAACAGACCCTCTTTACTTACAAAACGAATGATTTCCTGTTTTGAAACAAACAGTGACAGCACATGACAAAACAACCAAAACAAACAATACTTTTGTTTCGTACTTCTAGACAAAACATAATAGACACTTGTCTCTTTTTGACAAGCAATATGAACATTGGCAGCAGTTTTTGTTGATTTTCTGAATAACAACAGTAAAAAATTAAATACTGACTTTCTTTCTTGATCCTTTGTTTTATAAAAAGATTGTAAAAGAAACAATTAGCATTCTTTCTGTAATTAAGAGAAATTTCCATTTTTGCTTTTGAGTACTGACTTGGAACCTAAGTCGTCAATCCATTATTGAATACTGAGGGGCAACAGAGGAATGCAGTTATACTGAGGGGCAAAAGAAAGTATACCGAGTTTGTTTCTTATGTACTTGCAAATTGAAAGAATGGTTGTAAACCTTGATTACATCTGTTTAACTAATACTCCTTCCTGCAACAGGTTCTATACCACAATCTGTGGCTGGGTAATTTTGTGTAAAAATAAATTGGTTCAACAATGATTGGGGTAAGAAATGAATTTGCAACCACATGAGCCCCCCAAAAGCATATTTATTGATTTTCTTACTAAGATGTCTAAGATACCCATAGGCATTTGTGTATAAAGCAAATTTCTCTCTAATTTTAAAAAGTTTTAAACCAAATTGTATTTCAAAAAAAATTAAACTATGTAGAAGTATTCCGAGGTTGCTCATTAAGCGCCAGTACAGTTAATTTTTTGGATCTGATATCGCTGACTTAGATATTTTCAACTGAATATAAAACATGAAATCAACTCAGACGTATAGTTTTTTCTGCCCCTCAGTTTATTATGACCTGAAAGTCGTCATATTGAAGTAAGAAATCTGTATGGTTGTTCGAACAGCAGCACAAGTACAGGGGCATACAGTATACATGCTCACTGCTTTTCTTAAGGCCAATAACGATCATCAACAGAATTCCATCAAGGAATCAGGGCACTAGATACACTGAACACACCATGCATACACAAGTAAGTTGTCTTACTTGATGGTTGGACCCAACCAACTCCCTGCTGCCTTAAGAGACAGAAGATGGATATGAAAATAGGGGCAACAACCTCTGTCCAGATTCTCAAAAAGTGTTTGTTTTCACCTCCAAATGCAAACATTTAACTCTCCACCTAAAACATTAGTATGTAAGTACCAGTATCTATAATAACCACCAGTGTCCACACACAAAAAATGTTATCTGTACCATTGTTTTATTGTTTTACACCCATATTAGTGTATTCCTAATATACTGTTTATCCAAATCAAACACATTCAATACAGTTCCAGTTTACTTTGATGGCACCAACAAGCAGGGTGGAAGCTTAATAAATAGCCCAACACCAATCTAGGTCATTTCTACTGATCTGTAAAGTCATGTAATATTTATGCCCTTAAAATACATTTCCTTATTACATGGAAACACCCATTCCATAAAGGTACTTACGGCTTTGTCTCGACATCCGCAGTTCTTTGCAGCAAGAAAGAAACAAGCTTCAGCGTCATTGATTCTATAACAAAGATAAGTGATAATTGATTCCCCTCAAGGATAAGATCAGATCTTTAACAACCATCTTCACTCACTGAAGTGGATTGTGACCAAACATAATTAGAGTGCATTCTTCCAATGGTCAATGTATATAATTATACATTCTTTAGAGAGACATAATTACAAATATATTTGGGGGTTAATTCACATTTCCTTATAAATCTACAAATGGTGAGACAACACTCAAATCATTTTTGAGTCAAATGAATTGTTTGATAGGCATCGGATGACAACGTAGACACAATTTATGGATAACAACTTCTTTAATACTGTAAAGGCATCTTGCTTGACAACAGTATAAGGATCTATACCGAAACGTCTCACTTTACAGTATTAAAGAAGTTGTTATCCATAAATTGTGTCTACTAACACTCAAATGAACATTTACATACATTTCTTGAGGTCAGAAGCCTCAAAATAATGATGGACATTTTCCTAAAGCTGCAGGTCCACAATGGACTCTTACCAACACCTCTTGAGATGCTGTTCTCAAAGTAGGAGCTGATATGCCTCACAAGAACACTGAGGCGGTCGGGTAGCCCATTGGTTAAAGCCTTCTCTTGTCACGCCGAAGACCCGGGTTTGATTCCCAGCATAGGTACAATGAGTAAAGCCCATTTCTGGTGTCCCCTGCCATGAAATTGCATGAATATTGCTCAAAGCGGCATAAAACCATACTCACTCACTCACTCATACAGAACACTGAGGCGGTCGGGTAGCCTAGCCGAAAACCCGGGGTCGATTCCCAGCATGGTAAAGCCCATTTCTGGTGTCCCTTGCCATGAAATTGCATAAAACCATACTCACTCACTCACTCACAAGAACAGTGATGGTCTATTTCCTGAAGCCTCGTGGTCAAAAAGAACACCTACCGACACCTCTTGAGGTCAATGTCCTTCAGGGCAGATCCTCTGATGTACAGGACCCTGTTGGCCCACTTAGGATCCTTGAGGATCATCTGCATGCTGGTGTCCAGCTCATCGGAGCTCATCAGCACCACTGTGTGTTCCTGACACAGAAACATTGGTTGGTTGGTTGGTTGGTTGGTTGGTTGGTTGGTTGGTTATTTAAAGCCGCACTCAGCAATATTCCAGCTATATGACAGCTGTCTGTAAATAATCGAGTCTGGACCAGACAATCCAGTGATTAATATCATGAGCATCGATCCACGCAATTGGGATTGATGACATGCATCAACCAAGTCACCGAGCCTGACCACCCGATCCTGTTAGTCGCCTTTTATGACAAGCACAGTCACCTTTTACGGCAAACATGGGTTGCTGAAGACCTATTCTACCCCGAAATCTTCACGAGTCCACACAGAAACATTGGCTCCAACAGATGTTGCAATACTCAAAAAACATTTAAGATGCTCACATGGTTTGACTGCTTGTCTCTGATGGTATGTTCTGGAATTTCTGAATTGTTTTGTTTTCTGTTGAATTAATGTGGGGAACCTTACATGACCATACATCGTTGTTGAATCTAGTTTCCTATCACCATCATAAACATCTACGTTAAAAATTGTTACTATGATCATGTTCACACTTTAGAAATGATTTGGGTCAAGAGAGAATGAAATCCTAATTGACACATAAGGCATTTTGGTAAATATATGTTTGTTTCATTTGATACTTTAATAAACAAAAATCAATAATTCAAAATACATGGTTCTGCTCATCAACAATGTTTCAGCAGTGGACGCTATACAATATACATACCTCCAGTTTAGGATGGGCGTAGAACTCATTCAGGAAGTTCATGACAGTCTCCGTGGTGAGCGAAGTGGAACACACGACCACGTGCTTGTTGCGCGCAGCTTTCCGGCGGCCATATTCCCCACCTGACTGTTTCCTCTGCACGTAGGTGGAGCCGATCTCTTCAAGCTGAGGAACATAGGGTACTCAGACTTTCCAATGTTGTAAATGATATACAACATTTCAATAATTCTCAGATATATAGAGTTAGTGAGTGCGTATGGTTTTACGCCGCTTTTAGCAATATTCCAACAATATCACGGCGGGGGACACCAGAAATGGGCTTCACACATTGTACCCATGTTGGGAATCGAACCCGGGTCTTCGGCGTGACGAGCCAACGCTTTAACCACTAGGCTACCCGACCACCCTCAGATATGTAGACTATTGAAGGGTACATTATAAGTTGTAGCAGGATCACGAGGGGAACATGGATTTAATGCATCCCACCTTAGGTTTTGTACCATGAGCCGGAGGTAAGTGGTAGACAATCTAACGAGGGACGCATGAAACCCCATGTACCTCGAGTGATCCTGCTATAACAAATTTATCTTACATGTTTTAATACATTGTAAAAGAATATTAAAAAAATCAAAATTGATAGAAAAGGACTGTTCGATTGAGCCTAGGTTAACTTGTGGTATGTCACATGACTTTCATTGACTCGAAAAAGCTTGCCTTATATATATATAAGGGACTTATTCTGGCTCTCAGAAATCCATGTTTAGCCTGACTTGTTCATGGCGTGGTATAAGGGATTTATTCCCTTAAATTATGTTTGAATAGAAAATAGTTATTTCTTGCTTCAACTAAGAAAAATGTAGTATTTTGTCTCTTTTTAATAATTGAACGGAGCTGTTGGTCAGCTTTCAAGAAGACAAAATAGACAATGTTTTACATGACAGCTAGTTAAAGTATGCATCATATGAGACTGAATATACATATTTATTTGGACATATCTAAAGGTGCCCACACAACACACACCTAATGAACTGGGAAACATGATGAATGCAACTTTATCATTATGTCAGGTTGGATGAGTGCTTTTGCATTGGGTTCATGCAACTATTGTCTCAGTTAAATCACTGAATGTCAGTTTGATGAGACCAAAGTGTCCTGTCATGGATTTTTAACATTATCAGGATACATCATGGATTCAGCCCTATGCCAAGAGATGCACCAAAGTAACACAACTCTGCACAACAATCCTGGAAAATCTTGGGTTCAAAATCACTATCAGCAGATCCTGGCATGACTAAGGACAACTCTATGTAGTTATTACACAACCCATGCACACTGGTTAGGATTAAGTGTTGCACATACATAAATTTAAATCATATAACAGTGAATAATTTCTTGGTTAATTGAAGGAAGAATTTATCTGTCATATTTTGTCTTTTCGCAATTTGTTCACGAATGTCAGGTTATTTGATTCTCGTTCATTAAAACAAGCTGTTACAAGGTAGATGACCACTCTAGTCACTTACCTGTCTTGGTATGAATGCAAAAGCAACACAGATCATGAAAAGCATGAAGAGGCGACCGACCCATATGTCTGGGGATATGTCACCATACCCGACAGTTGAGAAGGTCACTATCACAAAGTACACAGACTCAAACATGTTGAGCTTCACAAGTGCACTGGATCTTTGGATGTGCTGGATGCCACAGATACTGTCAACACAAAGATAAACCAAACATGTAAATATTCAATACATATAATCATCATGATCAACATAATAATCATCATGATCATCAACATAATAATCACTATACAACATATATATTCATCATGAAGGCCAACTACAATAGCCATGACTGATGCTTTCACTCCTCCATCATCAATACCATCAAGACAAATTATAATCAGATTTTTATTCTGATACAATACCGCTCTGCATGAAGATCTGAGGCCACCTCAATAAGGTAGCATCAGGTGAGGTGGGTGAAATGGGGTTTAACGTCGCGTCCATGATTATTGCATTTATATAGCAACGTGCATGTATGTGTGTGTGTGTGCGTGTGTGGCTGCTTGTACTAGTCCGGACTGATGCCGATTTATAGTGCTAGCCCACTGAGATACCATGCCGCAGTTTAACATGAATACCCCACTCAGACACAGTATACTGACTCCGAGCCGACCAGTCCTTGTTTTAGCCCCTTAATGCCAAGCGCCAGACAGGCTAACAACAAGTACCATCTTTTAACCTCTTTTGGTATGACGCAGTCGGGGATCGAACCCCGGACCTTCCGCTCTCCGGGCAGACGCTCTACCACTAGACCACGGAGGCGGTCCAGGTAACATCAGGTCAACACTGAATGATCCTTGACGGTGAAATGTGAAAGAAGTGCTGTCACAGTAAGTGGTAAAGCAGACGTTATGGAGCTGGGCAAACGGAAGTTGTAAGTATCGGAGGGACACACAATTTTGCCGAAATGACTGTAAAAATTATTGAATGAAATATTGGTAAAAATTAATAAAACAGATTACGTAGATTACAAACATGAGTCTAGATAGACGATGAACTTTTTATAACTGATGGTGTAATGACAGGATTAACTTGCATAATTCAATACGGACTTGTTGATATTCTATTTCTGATGACAGATCATGACGAGACGTCGTTTTAGGTTGGGGGTCCGGCTTATCTACCACACATAACATTTTCATACAGATTTCAAGGACCAAATTAATACTTTCAGCTGATCTATGAGATCGGCTTATCTACGGTCTTATACGGTACGTGGGTTTCAAGATACAGAAATCAGATATCCTTTTGTGAAAACTTGCTCAATTGTATCGATAATTTAGAAGCCTCAATGCTGATTGGCTAACAGGAAGATCACCCTCCATGGATGTGTTTTCAAATCCACACTCAGAGAAGTATCATATTGGGGCAAAAGATCTGAGACTGCAACACCATCATCATCAAAAGATCATCATCACAAGATCATCACCACATCATGTTGTAACCCCCAGTTTTCTAATTATGTTAGAGGAAATAGGATATGCAGTCAATCATAATGTGTTTTTCAGGACTACATGGATAAAGATAACAAATTCCTCTTTCAGTATACAATGTATATGCATTAAAGCTGCTATTACACTGTGTGTAATTGGGAGGTTTAACGCCGCTTTTAACAGTTTTCCAGTTATATCACGATGCGTCTGCTTAATGTGGAAGGCAAGCCCGAAGTAATGCAGGTCTCAGACGTTAACCACTTCGGTGAAACCCACAAGCACGGGTATGGTGCTGACAAACCTAGAAACATAATCGGCGCGAACCAGGATTCGAACCCACAATCATAGGTTTCCGGACACAACTCTGCACAGAAAATCGCAGCGCCTTAGACAACTGGGCCACCCATGCCCCTATTCCACTTTGTGGTGCATCAGTGACACATATTCAGTGAAGTGAGTGAAACAACCAGAATCTCAATGATCTCGCCATGACATCCTCATAACATCCCCACAGCCAGAGGAAGGACAGCTAATGAGGCTAAGTCAAGATGAAAAACAAAGAGAATGGAGACATCTATATATTTATAGAATCGACAGGCAATGTGAATGCAGTAAAAGTAATTAAAACACCAATCTTAATCTTTAATTGAAACACTCACAGCCTTGAGAAAAGGGAAGTAACTCACGTAGTAAAGATGAGACAGAAGAGAGTGACATTGAGTAGAAGAATCTGTTGTGATAATGTCACAGATATGGTCTGGAATCGCTGCTTGGAAAGGTGAAGGTCATTCTGCAACGGAAATGGTTTGAAGGCACCATGGATCAGGGTGGTCATTGAAAAAACATACTGGCATGAAACTGTCATTTTTTATTAGAGTATGAGAAGAAAGTAGATGAATGTCCCGCCACCAAATGATGCTGAATCATCAGGAAATGATGATCCTTACAGTTAGTAAGGTTGACAGCAACAAGCAGACATGTTCCAGCAACACGATGATGCCAGACACCAAGGATGAAGCTCAGAGCTTCAGAGTCCATCCACCAGGGGAATCAAACAGGGTCTTCCATCATCATGACAGAAGGCTTGGACCATTAGGGTACCATAACTCCCACTTGGGCAGAACCCAGGCTTGACATGATTTAAATAAGACAGTGATGACGCCACTATTTTTCCTTTGGCGCCTACTGGAATCTGTGGTGGCAGATCATCAAGACAGATTACCCTCTGGCGTTGACATTTTATAACGACATTCCATCAAAGCATATCCATGGACAGGTTAAAATGATTCACAGAAAGTCACGTAACGTATCACAACTGCAAATTCTGCATGGTCATGTGGTAGACCAGCCCTACCTAGTAGCCTGCAACCTCGGGGTATCGCGGTACTTGTCATGTACGCTGAGCGGAACAAAATGCACTCACTAACCGTTATGATTATTCGTGTTCTCTACATCAGATATCATTCATTATATCAAACAATGCATATTTTACTGATAAAAGTTCATTATTTACATTAGTAGCTCCGAGTAAAAGCCGGGCCTCGCGCTCAGTTTGACAAGGGAGAGAACTCCATCGTATCGCGGTACAGAGAAAAGTTGTGTATGGAGGTCCGAATTGGACAAAAAGAGGACATAATTCTACCAACCACTTAGTATGATCATGCCAGATATCAGTGATTTGTCCAGACAAGTGCAAAGACAGCACAAGTAAAATTCGAAATGTGTTATCAGCAATAGGTATTCAATGCATATTTACCGAAAAGTAAGAGAAAAATATTTTTATAAGTCAACATCAAAATATCAGAAATGATATTTTAAGATTGTTTAAAACAATTTGGATGACAATAATTTGTCACAATAATGGAAAAACGTTAAAAGTCAACAATAAATATATAAAAATCACTCCTAGTATACCCTAAGTATGTATTTATCTTTTGGTTACTAGTGAAGAACGTATTTCTAAGTTTGGAATTATGGCCCTTATGATCTTCCAATAGATTCTGGGCACAGAGCGGGAAAAAATGTACGGACTACGTAACTTCCGTTACCTCATTAGTGGCCATGAATATGCAGATGATCTAGTTCAGGTCGATAGAGAAAGTTAACTTGGGGAACTGCGGGTTATATCGTTGGCCATTGATATATGGGGGTAAGGCAATATTACAACAGATGCCAGAAATATGTATCAACGCATTAATAACTCCTTACTTACAGCAGACGGAACATTCCGAGGAAATTGAAATTGTTTACGAAGTGAGCACTTCCTGGTTACTGATTAGCATTAATAGACAGCCACTAAGAGGCGTGTCCCGCGTGAACTACCGGAAATCACAAATGCCGCGATACGATGAATGCCGCGGTACCATGGGGTCCGAGTATACTACCCTGTATATAATAATAACCGGACATTATAAAGCACAAGATACCACACTACATATGCTTGAAGCAAGTGATATCATTTACCTGGGTGCCGTTGCACAAAGCGATCTTAGCGCTAAGGCGATTGTAACTCCCATACCTTAACATAAACTAACGACAGTCGTAGTGCAAAGATTGTTTCATACAACGGCACCCGGGTACCCATTAGCTGCTGGGTGGGAACCAACAGTACCAACAAGGGAGGAAAATCACCATATGTGTTGTCTTCTCTCTGAACTCAATGAAAAACACCCTATATATAGTCCTACCAAACACTGAATACACATCCATATTAATCACATCACCACAGCTAACCAAAGAGATTCCTTGAACAATTTGTTTAATTTTCATATCCAAAACAAAATGCCTCCCGGTTCAAATATTAGGAACACTTGGATGAAAATCTAATATGTCATGTTTTAACCAATGTTTCTGTCCAATTGCATCCTGGGATCCAGAGATTCTAGGATGAAATCAATTTGGCCTTGATAAAAAGACTAAATCAGGGTACATCTGACTCTATCCTGATCAATGCTGTGGTTTTCATCTCACAGAAATACTTACAAACAGTCTCTCCAGCGCCATCTTGACAAGCCAAACGTTGAGGAAGATGGGCAGGAACAGATCCTTCAGCAAGACTGGGTAGGCCACCTGGAGAAGCAGATATTAGGTTATTTCGAACATAACAATTAAAAATATAAATAATACATATAGCACCACAACACAAAAGACGACATGAATTGGAGATATATAGACTTCTAATTTTGTTTTTGTCTTCTAATTTCTAAGTCGTTTAACTTATTCCCATTTGATTTAGTTAAATGCAAATATGTCCATCACAAATTATTTAGACAGTGTAAGTTCAAATGTTTTTCTCAACTCTTTTGGGAGTATAGCATACAATCTGCTATGAATAATTTCTCCACACATCCTTCCAGGTACCCATTTATCATTGGGTGAACAGAAACATATTTTAACAAAGTCAATTTTTTTAAAAACAACAATGACTTCAACTGGGATTCAGTGTTAGGTATCAGTTTAATTAACCCCTGTGTTCTCATAGGAGGTAGGCTTTTTGAGCTAGTAGCACCAAACCAGAGACTGCCAGAATGAGCTCTCAAGGTATTCATATAGAGTGATACAATGGCACCTTGTATGCATCTTCCCGAGGCAAGGGAGTTAACTGACTTTAAAAGTCCAGTTTCCACCCTTGCCGAACTAGGCTGGAATTACTGGGCTCAATCGTTGCGCCACCAGTGGCTATTACCAATTATGTCCCTTCTAAGCCTCTCCTATGGACCAATCAGATTCCACCTCTCGTATCACTTGCATTTGCTTCACACCAAATGGTGGCGCTCAGTCAGGTCGATCTGATCGATAATCAAGATCTATATTGTGATAAAACGGGTCTTACATCGCGAAATGCATCAAATCACGTGAGCACCTTGATTAAAAACATGAAAAGATTTGGAAAATATCTGCTGACAACGAGTTGCTGGTGCACATGCTTTGCAAACCCTGCAATCGATAGAAATCTGCACGACAGTTTACAAACCGGATTTTTATTTCGGTGCGCAATTTTGATTGGACTATGCATAGACTCGTTAGTCCAGACAAAATGTAACTCCATAATACCAGACTAGTTCGGCAAGGGTGGAAACTGGACTTTTATAGTCAGTTAACTCCCTTGCCTCGGGACCGCCTCCGTGGTCTTGTGGTAGAGCGTCCGCCCGGAGAGCGGAAGGTCCGGGGTTCGATCCCGGGCCGCGTCATACAAAAAGACGTTAAAAGATTGTACTTGTTGTTACCCTGTCTGGCGCTCGGCATTAAGGGGCTAAAACAAGGACTGGTCGGCTCGGAGTCAGTATACTGTGTCTGAGTGGGGTATTCATGTTAAACTGCGGCATGGTATCTCAGTGAGCTAGCACTATAAATCGGCATCAGTCCGGACTAGTACAAGCAGCCACACACACACATACACGTGCATGCACGTCGCTATATAAGTGCAATAATCTTGGACGCGACGTTAAACCCAATTCCACCACCACCCTTGCCTCGGGAAGATGCCTTGTATGTTGTTTCAGCAATTGTCTACTTCTTCACTGGTGTATTTACTCACTGTGGCTATTACAGGAACTGAGCAGAAGAGCTCCAGCAGGAATCCTGGCTGAAGAATGTTCTCATGGCGCCTCCCCTGGAACATGAAGAATGTGAGGTGTAAGAACTGTCAAGTAGTTGCAAAGGGTATGCTAATAAAGTGGCGCACTTGATAAAATGAAAAGAGATATATGGTGAAATATATACTAGCATAAAAAAATAGTTCTTTTAAATTTACGTTATTGCAGTTGGCTTTGGAAGTGCTGTTTTGGCAAGTGACCTGACCTTGACACTACTGTTGGCTACCAAAATAGTTTACGTATGTCGGACTCTGCGCCAGGAGGAATCACCGCTTACCTCTCCTAGGTCAATGCATCTTTTGTAAATCCTGACTCTTGGTGGGAAACTTGCAACATTAATCAGTTCAGGAACGAATAATATGAAATAGGAGTAGGTTCTTCAATAGTAAGTAATTCAGAATTTTCAAATTCAATCAAAATCTAAATATCCTTTCTTCAGAATCACCAGTCCTGTGTCTGCTCCTCCATACCTTCGTCATGACATAGATCTGTAGCAGGGCCTTGATGAGAGTGATGATTGCCAGGAATATCTGTACAATCCATAGCGCCAGTGGCCTCGACACCCACAGTATAACATACCTGTCAAGAAAAAATAACAACATCCCATAACATCTGATCAAAATAAAACTTCATCGCATAAAAAATATTTCAACACATTTCAGTTCTTTCATTGAGTGCAGCACAATTTCTAAAGGGTAAGTAAAGTGAAAAACATGACTGATTTTATTGCAAATATCAATTGTCACAAATACATTATGTCAATTCTGAGACAAAAATTATCATAATATTCTTTGAAGGTATTTAAATGTCCAAGTGAAAGTGCGGAAATCACACGGATTCCAAAACTATTCGGGGGCGTGACCAAAAGCTACCAGCGCAACGATGCAGCGTTGTGTGACAAGTGCTTTCATTGGCTGATATGATGGCCGAGTTATGATGCTTAGAAGCTGTAAGGATATGTCAGGAAGTGGTCAGTCTAAAAGTGTTGCGAGCAACGACGCAGTGATGTGTGACAAGTGCTTTCATTGGCTGATATGTTGGCTGAGTTGTAATGTTTAGCAGCTATAAGGATATGTCAGGAAGTGGTCAGTCTAAAAGTGTTGCGAGCAACGACGCAGCGATGTGTGACAAGTGCTTTCATTGGCTGATATGTTGGCTGAGTTGTGATGCTCAGCAGCTATAAGGATATGTCAGGAAGTGGTCAGTCTAAAAGTGTTGCGAGCAACGACGCAGCAATGTGTGACCAGTGCTTTCATTGGCTGATATGTTGGCTGAGTTGTGATGCTAAGCAGCTACAAGGATATGTCAGGAAGTGGTCAGTCTAAAAGTGTTGATATTTCTGTTATGCTACAAACTTCACATTGCTTAGTGTGTGAAACAACCTTTGAACTTGAACATTGTGAATAACTAAAATATTGATTCATGTCTGTAGCTTTTCACGACTAACATCCTGTTTGGGTACCATAAACCCTGACTTCCTGCTAGTCCAGCAACTGGTCAAGGATAATGCCCATTGTTTCTGTTTAATCAATATACATCCGTACATCCAGCATTCATTTACTTTAAAATATAAAATAACAATTGATGAAAAGAATGAGCACTGTATAAAATATCATTTTATTTCTCCAATTTCACATTTAACATTTCCATTCCCATGGATCTATTGTTGAAATTTCTCAGCGCGTCCAACACCGGTAACCGGTTTTAACCTCTCCTGATGGGATTCCCGTCATTGGTGGAATTTTTCGTTTGGGAGATGATTTTGCCTGTCGTTTTTATCCTCCGTTTTACTGTATTTCCCATTTCAAAATTTACTTTTGGTCAACCATCTGTGATTAGGTATCCCCTAAAGTATTCAATTCTGCAAAGTTGCTAAGTTGACTTTACTTGCTCTTTAAGTTTTCAATCATAAATAATGAAATATGAAGATTTTAATGTTATAACATGTTACATTAATGTCATGTCACTGATTCTGTGCATTATAGTGAGTGAGTATGGTTTTACGCCGCTTTTAGCAATATTCTAGCAATATCATGGCGGGGGACACCAGAAATGGGCTTCACACATTGTACCCATGTCGGGAATCGAACCCGGGTCTTTCGGCGTGACAAGCGAACGCTTTAACCACTAGGCTACCCGACCGCCCCCTGTGCATTATAACTGAGATGAGAAGAGAAGACATTTTGCCCTTGAAGATTTATTTGAACTGTCAATCATGCCAACTGTAAAAATAAAAGTTTACAAAATCTTCTATAAAGAGAATAATATAAATCAGAGAAAAATGAGGAGAGTAGATCTTATACCACATCAACTCAGTCCGTAATGCCCTGGAACAAATCAAATGAAACTAGAGGTTTACACCAAAGAAATAATTAACCTCTCCATTAAACCATTGTAGTGCTTTCTGATGATTTGTGAAGCTGATAGCAAGTGCCAAACATCTACAATACAGAAATATAGTGTTGACATTAACAAGCCACTCTTTCATTCGTAACAGTAAGTCAAGGGCAGGTAGCCAATGCAGAAATGGAGAGCCAATCGATCACTCTGTCATAATAAGGATGTCACACTTCAAATGCAGAAAAAGACTTTTTTAAAGGAAGGGTATCCTTTCGTGATCACAGGTTAACATACAGGTGATATGAGTTTCTAAAACTGAAAACAATTTGCATTTGGTGTTATGTTTGTTGAATCTATACCACAGAATGGGTTACTGATTTGTTCCAAAATCCACACACCTAAATAAAATGTCTAAATGTCTAAATATTTAGTATGTTTCCCCTGAGACTAGACTCGCGTCTGCACTTGAATACAGCCCGGCACAGTGTAAGAGGCAGACGTCTCAAGAGGTTACATAACTTAGTGACATCCCTTCTCAATGGCAACAACCCTGCTTGTTACACCATTTTATAGCAAGTATTGTACCAAGTGGTCCCCTTTATTCACATAGTGGAACATAAAAGATATGGGTTTTTTTTATTTTTAAAAAGTCAAGTACCACAGCACCATAAAAAAACATGACAACAGGATGTAACTGTTGAGGTTCTCCAGGGTTGTTATTAAGTGAGTGAATATGTGAACATGATCGGCCATCATTGGCAACAATTCCAACTAAGCTACTCAAAAAGGTCAGTGACACTATTGTTCTTGCAGTTGATTGTGAGCCATGAATTCATTGGCCATTCTAACCCGTGAAAATCTGGCTTAGAATATGTCTTCAGCAACCCATGCTTGCCGAAAAAGGCGACTGAGCTTGTCGTCAGAGGCGACTAACGTGATCGGGTGGTCAGGCTCGCTGACTTGGTTGATGCATGTCATTGTATCCCAATTGTGTGGATTGATGCTCATGATGTCAATCACTGGATTATCTGGTACAGACTTTTTTATTTACAGACTGCTATCATAAGTTAAACAACAAACAAACAAACATTGACTATTCTGAACGTGTAAAATTGACACAACTAAAGGTCATTATGCAAAATTATAGAGAATTTATATATCAACCATGACATGGTTTAATACAGGAAAATCACACGAAGCTGTTGATTTCGGATGGAGATTCTACTTCTGGAACAAACAAATTCAAATGATTTGCCCATCACATAAACCAAAGCATGTTTTTTCACCTTGTCCTTTCGGCATGATGTGGGAAGAACCTGTTTCCACCGACCTTGATGACAACGCTGTAATTGGAACCACGTTCTGTGTCTGGATGTCATCACACCTATGTCATGCTTCTTCCACGTGGCTTTACAAAACCAACTTGATAGGGAACCGTTTCAGACATATTTTCTAGTTAAAGCAAGGTAAATGACCCCTCTGGTGTTTCACAACCACTAGCCATAGATTGCCAACTCAGTGTACTTGGTCAGCCTCCGTACTGTTCCTGAAGAGTACCATACATGACAACTGCTTCAAAAACTAAAGTGTATCGCTTACCGGATCAGTTTCAACTGTCTCAAAAGCTCTCCTATTACAAATCCAATTTGTTCCCGTGAATTATCTTCTTACACATCCATCACCTCTTGATGATATAATTTAACATAAATTCCTCATATCTTATGTAGAAAAGTAAGTTAATTCCAACCTGTAATGCCATTGTGTCGGCCACCATTGTAGGTAAGGCTTGAGGCAGATGACCATGATGACAAGGAAAACATCATTTCCATAATTCATGTCAATCTCAATCTTGTTATCTCCATCAAAGTGCTACAGTGTTGCACTTACTAATCAATCAAATATTACTAAGTCCTGTCTCTAACAAAGTGTCTTGCTGTGTTGAACCGTAGGACTATTAGATATATAATTAAAAAAGTTTGAATGACACAAATTTTGTGGACAGATTGGTCATGGAACAAGACACCACAACAGGAATACATTGGATAGTCTCTGAGTAATGTCCCTTGACTAAGTACCTCATTATCTGTTTATTCTCATGTCAACATAGGTCTTGAACTGTTGACTGTAAAAACATTTAAGCCCATGAATACATAATCATGGGAAAAAGGGTTTTGTTGTTAAAGATGGTATCACCCTCAGAGCTGAATGGAAAGACTATCTTTCATAAGTTATAGTGAGTGAGTGAGATGGTTTTAACGCCACTTTTAACAGTATTCCAGTTATATCACGGCGTGTCAGCTTAATGTGGGAGGAAAGCCCGAAGTGATGCAGGTCAGTTATAAAAGGCCATAATATTTTACAGCTTGATTGAAATATCGGTTTTCTTCATAACAATATATGAACTCATTTCTTCTTGTGTCAATGTGCAATCTTTTTGGATGATTTTCAAAAGACATATCAGGCAGTGTAACATAGATCTTGTTCCACACATGAAAAATGAATTTCATATTTTTGAATTGCTGTTTACACCTGAAACACCTGGTTAATAAATATGTTAAAAATCACCAATTTTTCAGTACTCTGTTCAATTTTGGATAAGGAAATAGTTGATCTCAATGCATCTCTGCAAGATTAACTTTTTGTGGTGTTAGATAATCTTAACTCTTAAAAAAGAAACCCAACTGTTAGATGCATCTCAAACTGCATACATGCACATCCAGTGTTCTGACTACCACAAACCCCATATATATATATACATATTCTTAGGACAGCAAATGATCCATTTGCAAAATGAGGCATAGATACAAAAAAGACAAAAGAGGTGACAATTTGGGTATTTGAATATTTCAATCCGAATGCAATAGTTAATAAAACACTATTGCGATACTATTAGAATAGTTGTTCCATTACTTGTGAGAGTTCCTCCCAGCATGCCTCAGTGTCGGGTATTTCCCATATACCAGATGTAGAGGGGAATGTCCGAGTAACTCTCCATTCCTTAAAAATAATGGAGCAGAGGCCCCTTAATTTTTAAAGAGTTTCGAGGATATTTCCCTACTTAAAACTCATCCCTACTTTTACACTTTGACAAAATATTCTGTAGGTGAAAATATTTGAAAAATTCAAATGCTGCTTCAAGATAATGTACAGTTGACAAGCAACTCTCCATTCCTGAAAAATAATTGAGCGTTCCAACAATAGAATGACGTCACAGATGTGTTTTAAGTACAGTCCCCATT